GTCCTTGACAAAAATTAAAATTCTAAATAGAAGGAATTAACATTTGTTAATGAGCACTTATGGTCTAGACACTGAGTGGCCATTAACATGTTCAAAATTTTGACACTCATACTCTTTTTAAGAATGAATGGCACAGAGGCCCTGACAATATCTTGTTAGTGAACAATATAGAGAAATAAGTATGTTAAATATGGACAAGTATTTCCAATTTTATCTGTGCCGTTTAGCTAATTCTCAAAAGAATTAAAGTCATATTATAACACAATTTGGGAGTGGCATGCTACTCTACTTACTAGAAGGATCTTTAATTCTACCCATTTCAAACAGAATTTTTATTACAACAGCACAAAGAAATAGATTATAATAATTTAATTATTATAATCACCACCAGGAAAGCTCTAAATAAGGACATGCAGTTAAGTACCATGTATTATGACAGTTCAATAATCTTAAATTATTTATTTCTCAGGAAATGTGTATCAACAAAATAAGAATAGTAATTATTTCCATAAATAACAAAATTACAGGTTTTCTATTGGCATCAAATTGTCCTTTGCACATAACAGCACTAACACATTTCCTAAGCACTCAAAAAGTAGACCCTCTGGAATTGGGTGCCTTGTGACAGCTAGATGACTAGGTTTCTGGCCACACAGCCACTCTGAAGTGACTATTAGGTAGTAACCGCTGAATTTAATAAATGTCATCAGATTTAAAGTAACACAATTGCATAACAACAAAACCAACCTGATTCTAAAATATACTCATGAAACTAAACTTAAATACTGACTTTTTCAGGAACACATCCAAAGACAACAAAGGAGACAAGATTTAAACACACAAAATACAGTGTGAGGAAAATCACACGGTACATCACAGCTTACAGGGATGAGTTTTGTGGCACCATAGCTTACAAACTGCCAAACCCGTATCAGAGAAATGAAACAATGTCAGTCCTACTATGTGCCATGACTTAGTTAAGACAGCATGGTCAGGAGCTCATAAATTTTCCCACCAAAGTAGTCCTGGGCTTGCCCAGTCATTTCTACCTTCTTCCAGCATATCACACGTATTCATCTTTCTCCCACACTGATAAAATCCATGTACATCTTGCTTTTTAATGTTAAAGTCAGTGAGTTTCATAACCACTATGCTGCTGCCAAACAACTAAAGTTGGGCAACTGAATACATTGCTCTAGATTTCAATTTCTCATTTGTTCTTCCCACTAAGTTCAGGGCTAGTAATTTAATGTGGAGACATAGCATGCCATTTTCTGAAAAAAGGAACATGCCATTTTCCAAAGTGGGAATGAGGATCTCAAAAACAACATTCCACCTGTTAACTTTAACGTTCAAAAATTACCAAATATTCCCAACAATAAAACAGCATCTCCATCTAGTGGCCAGTGGGGGTAACTGCAGACTCAACAACAGCATAAATGTTTGTGACAGTGGCTAGAGGAATAATGATCCTGATCTACTCCAACACCATTAGACAAGTGGAAGCCAGAACGCTGAGAAAGAAATGAAAATGAACATGTAACTTGCATAAAGATTTCCCTGTCTAGGACACCAACAGATATCGTTATCTTAGCATAAAAAAACTAAACATGCCAAGCTTCACAACTGATTTTAACGAACTGGAATCGGCTGTTAATCTTTGATAAATCTGATTAATTTAGCCTAAATATGAAGATCTATATTGTTGCTGTGATGTCACCAATACTTTCTTTAAATGTCTCCACTAATTTACATATAACAGAATTCTAAATTTTCTTCTTCACCCATTCCCAGGTCTACAAAAGAGCCAATTATATGAAAATGTTATTGCAGGAAAGTTACTAATTAAGTCATTAAAAATTCACAAAGATAAAATATAAGGAATTATCTTAACAATACCAAATACATAAAGTTCTAGATACATAAATGTTCCTAACAGCATTTAATAATTTTAAATTTTACAAATTAAACTTAATCTAAAACTAATAAATCGGTTAAATAATGGTGTAGCCATTATTACATAAGTAAAAAGGTTGCTAGAGAATTATTTAATGACTAACTATAATATACTTAATGATTAAATCACAAAATACAGACAGTGGTCATCTCTGGTGAAAGGGTGAAGAGTGTCCTTTCCCTTAAGGAACTTGTATGCTCCTTCTATCCTGGTAACAATTTTGCAACTGACAATATTCTCTTTTTACCTCTGATGCAAAGATGTTCAGAGCTAGAACTGAAAATCAATTTTATGTGCAATTACTGGTGATCTTAATGGCCAGAAGACTATTATCTTATAGAGCATTTAGGCTAATTTTTAAACTTCTGTCATAATAAAATAGACTTTAACAACCTGCTACACAGCGAGCTCTTTACTGTGAGAACTTAGTTTTAGTAGTGTTTAATGAATACTATATAGATAAATGAAAAAACTGGGAAATAAACTTTAGATAAATTTTTCTAAAACAGGAATTTTACTAAGTGCAAGGAAGACAGGCTAATTTTTTCAGACTTTAAAATGCCATTTAAAAATTTAAGTATCAATATTTTAACCCTAACTAATTACTTATTTTACTCTATTATTATTATTATTATTTTAGAGACAGGGTCTGGCTCTGTGGCCCAAGCTGAATGAAGTGTGGTGTCCTCCTAACTCAGATGCCCAAGTAGTTGGATTTACAGGTATGTGCCACCATGCCTGGCCAGTAACAAACTATACAAATAACTTATACTTACTTATATAATATCAGACTATATTTTCCTGAAAAACAATCTATATCTAGAATATTCTACATGGCCATGTCATTTTGTCATTCTGACCTTTTGTTTCCATATACTAAAGGTCAGAATACATCACTAACTCCACAATAATTTTCTCTGATCACTAAAAATGTCATTCAGGAGGTATGCTCCCACCATCTAGCCTACTTAATTAAATCATTTTATATTAATCTATCTTACAGTAAAGTATTTCAAGATAAAATTTGTTACTACATTCAAATATAAATGTTATCAATTAAAATTATATCATTGGACAAGGTACCAGATTCAAGCACTTTTTTTTTTTTTTTTGAGTTGGAGTCTCACTCTGTTGCCCAGACTGGAATGCAGTGGTCGCTTCCGGTCACCGCAATCTCGACTGCTGGGCTCCGGCAATCCTTCTGCCTCAGCCTTCCGAGTAACCAGAATTACAGGCACACGCTACCACGACCGGCTGATTTTTGATTTATTGTAGAGATGAGGTCTCGCCAAGTTGCCCAGGCGGGTCTTGAATCTGCGGGCTCAGGCAATCCACTCACCTCAGCCTCCCGAGGCACAGGATTACAGGCTGAGCCACCGAGCCCGGCTTCAAGCACGTTTAAAGTCTGGGAAAATTTCTTTTTTCTAGGAAAATTCTAAGTCAAAAAGGTCAAATTTTAACATCACATAAATTTCTAAAATAGTTCCAAGATACAGTATCTAGGTCTCTGCAAGTAGTGAGCCATTGTGCCCAGGTAATTTTTAAATTTTATTTGTAGAGATGGGTCTCACTATGTTGCCCAGGCTGGTCTTGACTCCTATTCCAACTCCTGGCTCAAGTAATCCTCTTGCCTTGGCTTCCCACAGTGCTGAGATTAAAGGCCTAGCTCAAATATTTTACTTAATCAAAAAATACATTCTGCCCTGAACATCTACTTTTTAAATAAAGACCAATCTGATGTAGCAAACAGGTCAATCTTTAAAAAAGAAAAATCAATTTTAAAAGATCTTTAAAAAAAGAAATCAATGTAGCCTGAATAACATAGCAAGCCTCTCACCTCTACAAAAGAAGATGATAATAATAAAATCAGCCAGGTGTGGTGGCATATGCCTGCAGCCCTAGCTACATAGGAGGTGAAGTGGGAGGATGGCTTGTGCCCAGGAGGGCGAGGCTGCAGTGAGCTACAATTGCCACTAAACTCTAGCCCAAGTGACAGAGATCCTGTCTCTAAAAAAGGAAATTAAAAATAAGTAAATGAATAAATAAGATCTAAAATCTGTATCCCCTCAATACTTTTATGAAGGAGTTTGAGATAGACTGGGAGATAGTGTTTTTGAAGCACGACAATCTCCATGACAGTAGGGAATACAGGAAGTAAACTCTTCTCAAATACAAATACCTTCCCAACCGTCCAACTGTGAGTCTGAGCTGCTACCAATCAGAGACGCCTTCAAGACCCACTCCCACGGTTTCCCTTATCCATTCTTCCTCAATATAAACACATGAAGTGCACATATGTTTATTTTCATGAATAAGAATATAAATACAGAGATAAGAATGAGAGTAGGACAGTTGAAAATAAAAAATAATTCTAAAGATCATGGTTAAAAGAAGTAAACGTTAAATGTTTCTTTTGGCAATGTCTATACATTTCTGAGACTCTAGAGAAAACACAAAACTTTCTATTCTTAGGACTGACTGAGAAAACAACACATTTCTTGGATGACAACTCCACAACCAAGAAAATAATAAACCAGTTTCAATCAATAATCAGTTGCACGCTGGCAAAATATCTAGAGTACTTTCACGATTAAATTCTTAAGAATTAATCATGTTATCAAGTACTTACAGACTTGAATGACTTATGTACCTGACTCTTCAAAAATAACTACTACCTGCAACTTTATAGTGCTTGACAAAAACATTAAAAATCCACAGATGTCCAACCATGTTCAGATCAGAATATGGACATGAAGTTGTTAGCCTTTGTCTTATCACTTCCAGTTACTGGTTACTAAAGAAAGGAATGTTCTTTTTCACAGATGAAGATAAAGGAATAATCAAAACTATTATTCTGTGTTCTAGGATAAGTGGTGACATAGGATAGAATTAAGGGCACCAAAAATAACTACATATTTCCAGAATAATTTCAAAAGAATAAGTTCATCAAATATTCCAACTGAACCATGTTGTTTAAACTAATAACGATACAATAAGTAAACTGATTCACCTAAAGAGACATTTCGGAGGATCGACTGCTTACCCGAGTCATTTCGCAGATATGACGACATGGCTGGGATGAGGCAGGACTGACTGAGGAGCTCCAGAAGGACGGAGGGAAGGGCGTGGCTGTTCTGCCCTCGACTCTCCTGAGATGCCTGGACCTCACCATTCACCGCACCACTCGCAGGGTTTATGTAACTGGCAAGAACCTGAGAATAAAAAGTGCTAAACGAGATTAGATCTGAGTTTCACAAACTTCAAAGGCCTACATTTTATGTTAGACATTCAACTGGAATATTGACGACATATTTTCTACTTAAATCAGTAAATGCCTCACACTATATATGTTCTGAAAGCTAGATATTTTTGTTCAGGTTTTCAAAAGAGAAGAATCTGTCTGCTTGAGAGTATTACTTACGAAGGGTGGTACACTGTATACGACTAGACATACAAAAGCAATCTACCTAAGAACACAAACTTAAAAACTCAGTAGCAACACTGATATTATTGATCATATTTCATTGCATAGATTCAGCTCACAGTCTGAAGGTGATAAAATCTTAGGACTTTGTACTAGAACGAGCAGTATTATTTTAGAATGCCGGAAGACCATGCTCAAAGATGTGACCACCTTCAATTGGTCGACACAAGAACTAGAGCTAAACTTTTCACTCAGCATTTCCCCTTCTCATTTCTGTGGTACAAAGACTTTTTCTTCTGCTTGGCTTGCCTGATTCTATAAAAGTTACAAAACAACGTAAGAAACAAAAATGTAAATAAACAGTTTTTTTTAAAAAGAGAGTCTAGATACAACACATTAAGATGAAAAGATGGCTGTAAGAAGGAATAAGGGGATAATTTCATCCCTGCTACTATCTTCTCAGTGAATAAATATAGGGTTACAAGCATGCAAGAGCAATCTCTGTTCAGGGTTATCTTAGATGGGAACAGGGGCCACAAGTGGGCATAAATGTAGCTGAGGATGAGTCAGATCAGTCATCAATATTAAAAAATCATTACAAATACAAAAGCAACTAATTCCGATCACTGACAATATACCTGCAGAAGACAGGTGACATGTTCCTCTTCCAGCCTTTGCTTAGTTAAGGCTTGTTCCACATCCCAGCCAGAAGCCGTAGAGCCCGTTCCAAAGCCAGTTCCCTTGGCCCAATACAGTTGCTGTTCTTCCGTTGATGTAGGGTGATGAGCGCTCGACACCTGCGGCTAACAGACACAAAAAACAAGCACGTGCTATGATTTGGTTTTATTTATCTTCAAAAATATCTATCACTGGGAATGTAAGCTGGTTCAGCTACTATGGAAAACAGTTTGATTTTTACTCAAAAAACTGAACATAGAATTAGTAAATGACCCAGCAGCTCCACTCCTAGGTATATGCTCAAAAACAGATAAACATACACACATGTTCACAGCAGCACTATTCAAAACAGTCAAAAGATGAAGACAGACCAAATGCCAACCAGGGAATAAATAAATGCATAAACAATGCAATGGATTATTTATTCAGCCTTAACAAGAAATGAATTATTGACGTGTGCTGTTTCAGCAGTCCCCAACCTTTTTTGGCATCAGGGACTGGTTTCTTGGAAGACAATTTTTCCACAGACCTGAGGATGGGTGGGGGAGGTGTACAGTCCAACCTCACTGCTAATGTTAATCTGTATTTGTAGCCTCTTCCCAGCACCAGCAACACCATCTTAGCTGTGCTTCAGAACATCAGGCATTAGATATTCATAAGGAGTACGCAACCTAGATCCCTCACATGTGCACTTCACAATAGGGTTCCTGCTCCTATGAGAATCTAATGCCGCCACTGATCTGACAGAAAACAGAGCTCAGGTGGTAATGCAAGCCATGGGGAATGGCTATAAATACTGCTGAAGCATTCCTGGCTTGCCTGCCGCTCACCTCCTGCTGTGCAGCCCAGTTCCTAATAGGCACGAACTGATACTGGTCCAGGGCCCAGGGGTTGAGGGCCCCTGCGCTACACGGGTTAACCCAGAAAACATTATGCTAAATGACAGATAGACACAAAAGTTAACATAATGTATAATTCTATTTATATGAAATATCAAGACTCGGTAACTGCACAGAGATAGAACACTGGTTGCCAGGGGGTAGGGGGGAAAAAAAATAGAGAGCAACTGCTTATTTAACAATAAATAAATAAATAAAAATTTTAAACTGTTTATCAGGAAAAGAAAGAGTAACCACCTTAGAGCCTAAAGAGTAAATGACTCAACATTAATGGAAAACCAGTGAAAAGAACAGGGATGTGAGCCAGATCCTTTAAAATCAATAAAGTACAAAGAAATTTCAGGATAATTTCATCAAGGTGTCATATATGTTTCCAATCACAATAGCTAAGGCTGATTCTATTTACAGAATGAATAATTTTCAATTTCTTTCTTTTACAGAATGTAAGTTGTAGATATATATCTTGGGGAAAAAAAGAAATATTGAGGGGAGACAAAAAATAACTGAATCACCAGTTTATTAACATAATCTCAATTCCTGTAAAGGTCAATTTCTATTATTTCTGCAGGCTGTATAATTAATTCTAAAAAAAATCTTTTAAATGTTTATTGCTAAATTGACTATCCTACATATGTACCCTCAAAACATTTGTAATTAAATGTTAGTTTCAAAGGTAACTCATAAGCAATACCAATGTTTTTTCTTTTAGCAGAAATTTTTTTCCTAAGGAAAAATATTATGCAGAAACAGTACTTTTGTGAATTGACATATATGGTAATGTGGCTCTATGACTACAGGACTCCATATTTCACATTTTGTAAAGTAAGCTAAGAATCACTAAAATCTTAATTACCATATACACATTTACCAGTAGAAGAATCAATGTTACTTATAAAGATAGTTATTTATTTCAGAAAACATGTATTAACATGACGTGTAATATACACATAGAAGAACACAAAACTAATATGTAATACAAACACCTATTTAAACACACAGGCCAAGAATTAGATCACTGCACCCTGGAAATTACCCCCCTTCCATCTCCCATTCTTTATAACCTTATTCCTCTATAAGGCTGACTTTAATCCTAATCCTGACAGTCACTGGACCTATCTATGATACCAGTCACTACACTTTTGTTCTGCCTAATTCTGAACATTACATCTGTATACGTTCCTTTGTGCCTAGCATTCTAGCTGTGCATCTGAGATTCATCAGTGCTGCCTGGCGGAGCTAGCTGCAGTTGCTCACATTCACTATCGTATAGTAGTATTCAATTACATAGTCAAATGCAATTTACTTATCCGTTTTACTATTTTTACATTATTTTATCCATTCTATTGTTTTTACATCATCATAGATAATGACAGGACAATATTTGGTACTGTTGCTTTTTAAAATTTTCGATATTCTGAGAGGATATAGAAATAGACAATGAACGTGTACTTCTAGGGTACTGAAGAGAGTTATTAAAAAGGAAGAGGCCTCACAGGATAGATTCCGCACATCTTGGTAAAAACGAGAAAGCTTATTAAGCTCTTAAATCTTTTGCTTTTCACAGTAGATGGGCTTATTTGTGGTTTTCTGAAGAAGCCTAATGGAGAAAACAATTTATAGTTTATCTTTTAAATATCCTTTGTTTTAGATGTAAGAGGGAAACATCCAAGTCTCTGTAACACTAATTCCTTCTGGAAAAACTGTATTCTGTACTCCATATATGAAGTTCAGTTTGTCATAACTGAAAAAACTATAATGGAACCTACCTCTGCTTGGTTGAGGCTAGAATTTGGAACTCGTGGGGCATGGTGGCTCAGAGCAGAGAGACAGACAAGAATGAGGTGCAAGGCTCCAATTTCCAGTGCCATCCTCCGTAGAAGTACGCCATCATCAGTGGTCAAAGGTGTCGCACTCAACAAGCTACGAAGGACATGGAAAGGAAGGGTGGGAAGCACAGTGGCTGATGGAGACTGCAGAATGTGACCTGGGTGGAAGGAGGAGAGAACGCAGAAGTTAAAAACATTTAAAAACACAACGAGGAGCTACATACAGGATCATCAACTAATGACAGTGTCATATAAAATTATATCACTGAGTTTATTATAAAATAACCCAAATACTACAAACAGAAGAGTATCAGGAAAAGCTCTGCAAGACACAGTATGTGCAAACTCCAAAAGAAAGTTGAAATGTACATAAAAATTAATTGCAGATGATACAAAAATTATTAAAAACTAGAATTTAAACAAAAACATAACTAATAAAGAAGCATTAGGAGTTTCTTACGACAGTAAGAGACTCACCGCTTGCCTTGACAGCAGTTTTAACCATGAACGGTAATGAACAAGTGAAACTAATTTTTTGCTGTTGTTGCAGAACAGTTTTTCCACCATGATCTAGCCAGAAAGAGGTGTTAAATGAAAGAAAAACAATGCTACACGAATGGTGGATGAGACACTATTATGGAAAGAGATATCACCACTATGCTTTTTAACAAATGTTCATTGTCTATTTACTAAAAAAAATTGCCTGAAATGGCACAAAGTCAACTGCTTCCTTTTCTGTTTAGGTCACATCTACTTGTCTTACAATAGAGTGTTAAAATACAGTTTGCATGTACATATAAAAATATCAAATGTATGACAAAAATATGTGCAACTATCATGCATCAGTTACAAAATACAATCATTCTTACTGCTGTATCTACTTAAAATAAAAAATCAGATCAAGTAATTCGAGATTCCTGATCTAAAATAAGTACAACTGATAGCTGACCAACAGAGGTTTGAACTCCGCGGGACTATGAGGGCATACTCTCATACAGAATTTTTTCATCCAAACACAGACAGAAAAACAAGTATTTGTGAAATTTAAAACCCACCTGTATGAAGGTACGAGCTTTTGCATTTACACAAGCTGCACAGGGTCAACTATGGGACTTGAGAATGCACAGACTTTGGTGTATGTGTGGGGGTGGGGGGCAGGTCCCAGAACCACTCCATGATGTACAACGAGGGAGACAGCATATACAATCAACATATGAAGCAAACTACCAAGACTATTCAGAGTTTTACAAAAACATTTCAATAATGTTACCATTTATGAAGGATTCCATCATTATGAAAATGCAAAGGAAAAAATGTGTACTGCGAATATTAGATAGCTATAGAGTTTTCAGATCCACAAACATATTCGTATAGTTTTATCAGATCATATACACTTTGTGGTATAGGATTTTTTTTTTTGAGACAGGATCTCAGGCTGGATCTTAGCAGTGGCTTGATCACGACTCACCAAAGCCTTGACTTTCTGGGCTCAGGTGATCGTTCTGCCTCAGCTTCCCAGGTGGCTGAGGCTACAGACGCATGCCACCACACCCAGCTAATTTTTAAATTTTTTTATAGATACAAGGTCTCACTGTGTTGCCCAGGCTGGTCTTGAACTCTTGAGCTCAAGGAGTCCTCCCACCTTGGCCTCCCAAAGTGCTGGGATGACAGGCGTGAATCACTGCGCCCAGGGTGGTTCAGGACTGAACAGAAATCAACCCTAATCAAGACCATGAGATTTTTAAAAAACACAGGAAAATACAAATTTTCTTATAAATATTAACTGAATGATCACTGAGTGAAAAACTGAGGCAAATCAAATGAAAATATCCTTGCAAGGTTACCCTAACCATGATATTTTCTTTGTTTCTTTCTTTCCTTCTATTAAATAATGCCAACCCAATGGAAACAATCACCATAGTCTTCTGTTATTAGTTTATATTATCATTCTATATAATCCTATTATTTTCTCAATTCCATCCTCTCTAATCTAAATATTGCTCCCAGCCGGGCTCGGTGGCTCAGCCTGTAATCCCGCGCCTTTGGGAGGCAGAGGTGAGGGGATGGCCTGAGCCCGCGGGTTCGAGACCCGCCTGGGCAGCGAGACCTCATCTCTACCATAAATCAAAAAAGTGGTAGTGCATGCCTATAATTCCGGCTACTTGGAAGGCTGAGGCGGAAGGATCGCCGGAGCCCAGCAGGTCGAGGCTGCGGTGGCCGGGAGCGGCCACTGCACTCCAGTCTGGGTGACAGAGTGAGACTCCAACTCAAAATAAATAAATAAATAAATAAATAAATAAATATTGCTCCCAGATTCACTTTCTTAAATAACTATTCTTGTCACATCACTAATTTTCTTGGCATATTTTAATAAATGGTCACTGCTAGAATAAAATCTAAAGTTCTTAATAAGCCTTTCCAAGATCTGTTACCAATATTAGCTTTCCAAATGAGCACTCAGTACTACTTTTTATGCAAATTTTCATCAGCTAACTTACCACCTCTCACACATTGAGTCTCCACACACTACTCATACCATTCCTTCTTTCTGACATAACTCATCAACCTAACTCTCATCTATTGTTCAAGGGCCCACTAAAACCACCATGCCACTACATTCACATTGCTGGGTCGAGAATTAAACTCACAGCTGTGCATCTCCATAACACTATACTCGAGTGTGCTCAGGGACTTTTATGACTTGCTAATTCTGTATGTTTATATACATTCCTCCCTGCCATTACTGGAAAACATTTGCTACTTCAGGGCAGATCTAAATACTGGCTTCATGTTTACATCCCTCTGATGATGTCCAGCAGTTTTATAAGCACTCAGAAAATAACTCTTGAATGAATACAGAAACAAAAATGGGCTGGGCATGGTGGTTCATGTCTGCAATCCTAGTGCTTTGGGAGGCCAAAGCAGGAGGACTGACTGGGGCCAGGAGTTTGAGACCAGCCTAGGCAACATAGCAAGACCTCTGTCTGTAAAAAAAAAATACATATATATTTTAAATTAGCCAGGTGTGGTGGTACACACCTGTCACCTGCGGTCCTAGCTACTTGGAAGGCTGAAGCAGGATGACTGCTTGAGCCCAGGAATTTTAGGCTGTGGTGAGCTGTGTTTATGACACTGCACTCCAGCCTGGGTGGCAGAGTGAGACCTCTTAAGAAAAAAAAAAAAAAAAGTAGGAAAAAAACAATAAAAGTGAAGGTTCTTGTCGGGCACAGTGGCACATGCCTATAATCCCAGCAATTTGAGAGGCTGAGGTGAGAGGATTGCCTGAGTCCAGGGGTTCGAGACCAGCCTGGGAAACTTGGCGAGCCCTCATCCCTACAATAAATAAAAAGATTAGCCAGGAATGGTCACACATGCCTGAAGTTTCGGCTACTTGGAAGGATGAGGCAGAAGGATTGCCTGAGCCCAGTGGGTCGAGGCTGCAGTGGCAGGGAGCGTGCCACTTCCCTCCAGCCTGGGCAACAAAGTGAGACTTCAACTAAAAAAAACCAAAAGAAAATGAAGGTTCTTCAGAATTTAAGCCACCGCCAGGACCAAGTCATCTCACAGCTTAACGAAGCAAGAATGAACACTAAGCAAGCATCTGGGTAACTTTACACATTTAATTAATAATACTAAGCACTTACTTCCTTCTCCATCATCTGTCACTCCCAATACCAACCGAAGAAGGCACTGGGCATGTTTCCTCTCTTTTAGTAGCACTTCAGCATAGCCCGGAAGACGAAGAAATAATCCAAAAGCAGCCAGAGAATGGGCAGGGATGGGAGACATGGTCTGCACTGCGGACTTGATGGGTGGAGGTTCGGCTGCGATGGTTTCTGGTGCTTCATAAACTAATTCCCCTGACTGTTCAATGGTCACCCACTCAAACTGATCGCTATCCTTTGGTTTTTCCTGAGTGGCAGAAGTTACAACTGGAGCACTCACCTAAAGAAAAAAAAAAGTGTTTGTTTGCACGTTTCAACACCAGGTTCAAATTAAAGACTTGACTTCAAATGATCTCTTTAAAATAAAGAAATATAAAGATTAATAGAGAAACTTGTTTTAAAAAAAACAAGCTTCCAAACATCAGGAAGCACGTGATATCATGAGTATGGCAGGGTTTGCCATGTGTCTCTACTTAAAGTTATCATTTTCCCCTTTGTAATTAGTTAAATAACTGTACACAGAATCTTTGAGACTATTTAAGTATCTTCTTTCTCACCAAATTTTGATCCATTAGCATTAGAACTTTTGTAATTATTGCCTAAAATGATAATTATGATGGTGGCTACCAAGGGTGACTCTGTGATTCTGTCATCCCCTCTACGTTATGAGTTGGTACTGAACTATAAAAAGGACATTCCCTTCTTCCCCAGGTATGTATTCATCTGTCTAGAAATCTTCATTAGTATGGATTCTCATTTTATTCAGTTATATTATTACTATCATTACTTATTTTGATGCCCAAGTAGAATCAGATTTGGTCACTGGAACCCTTTTAAAGCAGAATCCTGCCTCCTTTTAACGTGTCCCATCATCTGCCAAGTCCCTCCTTACTTTCTAGAACAGCAAGACAGTCTAGGTTCATCTTGTACATACCCTGTCCAATGGTAGAATTTCTCCAATTAGCCTGATTTCTTTGAGTGGAAACAGTATTAAAAATGAAGATAAGGGAGAGAGACATCACTAGGGAGAGTCTGTCAGACCCTATCAGCAAAGGTATCCAAGGGAATACATGAGTATACACATACATATATATATGCGAACACACATACACTTTCTAGTATGTACTCTTGACTACAAAGACAAGACAACAAAATGCAACATACGAATCTGAATTGGATCCTGAACCACTCACCACCTCACACCATGCAAAAGAAAATCGATTTTTTCTTTTGGCCCTAAAGAACATCTGTTGGACAACCAGCAGAACTTAGTAAGATCTGCAGCTTACGGTGCTGTGTCAATGTAACTTCTGATTTGGATAATTGTATTGTGGTTATATAAGACAAAGTCTTTGCACTTGCAAGTAAAGGAGCATTGTGCTCAGAATTTAATCTTGATAATTCAAGGAAAAACTCCAATTCTAATCACAAAATTGCCACAGAAACTTTTCATCTTATTTAGAAATATTCTTTCTCTTGCTTGGCCATGAATAATGCACTTCATTACATACTTACTATTTATTTAATAAAAGTTTCCACTCAAACGTGTATGTGTGTAAGTATACTTTTTTTTTTTTGAGTCAGGATCTCACTCTGCCATCCAGGCTGGAGTGCAGTGGGCACGATTGTGACATGATCATGGCTCACCGCAGCCTTGATCTCCTGGGCTCAGGCGATCCTTCTGCCTCCGTCTCTTGAGCAGCTAGGACTACATGTGTACACCACCACAGCCTGGCCAACTGTCTTGATTTCGTAGAGATGAGGTCTCATGATGTTGCCCAGTCTACTTTTGAATGCCTAGGCTCAAGCAATCCTCCCACCTTTGCCTCCTCAATTGCTGAGATTACAGGCAAGAGCCATTGTGCTCAGTCTCTAACATATAACATAAGGAATAAGCTATTGACAGAGTTATCTCACTATTCATGTAAAAATCACCCCATATCAGATCCTTAGAAGTCATACATTGAAGAATCATTCCCATGGAAGGAGATATATACACAAGTGAAGGACATTCTTAAATTCATCTACGTCAAAATGTACCTGAACACTGAATAAAACAGTTCCAATTTTGGTGCCAGTCTGATGTGACTACTGAGGTTTAAGCAAGAAAAAGAACGTGATAAACAGCCTAATTGTGAGAACGTGGGCATTCAAGGCACTTTTCACTTTTGATCCATTCTGATAACTTTTCTAGGTGAATTCTTAAAAGACTTTTATATTTATTAGCTTATGCTGCACAAAGATAATTTAGCCCAAAAACTAACCATATAATAATAAATAAGGTACTTTGTAACAGAAATAGAATCTTACTTTCTTGCCATCATTCAATTTTCTTAAAGATTCTTCCTTTTTTTGAGTCAGAGTCTCACTCTGTGCCAGGCTGGAGTGCAGTGCCATGCTCTTGGCCACAGCAGCCTTGACCTGCTGGGCTCAGGTGATCTTTCCACCTCAGTCTTCCAAGTAGCTGGAACTATAGGTGTGTGCCACCACATCTGGCTAATTTTTTTATTTCCGGAGATGTAAGGTCTTGCCAAGTTGTCCAGGCTGGCCTTGAACCTGTGGACTCAGGCAGTCCTCTTGCCTCTGTCTACCAAAGTGCTGGTATTACAGATGTGAGTCATCATGCCCGGTTGTAAGTGACTATTATAACCAACTTTATACCAACAAATTTGACAACGTAGATGTAATGGGTAAGTTCCTTAGAAAACAACTTACCAGAACCAACACAGAAAGGATATGTGTATGTTTGTATTTATGTAGTCACAAAATTGTTGTCAAACATATACATATTTTAGTCTACCATAACTGTGGTTTTGAAACATTAATCCCATGTTTCTCCAGTTTAACTCAAAATCCAATTTTCATTATTAAACTACAGCATTTGACTATTTAGGAAAGTATCATGTCTTCTCAGTCATAAACAATTGTAGGAAATATATTTATATATAAATATCAGAATTAAAGGCATAATATGGTTGAAATGTAATTTCTGAATGTCTCTGGCAAACATTACACTCTGTTCATTGTATTTAAAATATTTTACTTTTCTTATTTGTGTTTCAGACATTATTCAAAATTAATAGGCTCTTACTAGAGTCTTTTCTTTGGGAAACCGAGCTGTTTCACACTAGTCTAACAAAAGTATAAATCTTTGTTGTTAACTGAGCAAAAGCATGCTTGGTTTTTTGTCTTTTTTTAAGTTAGAGTCTCACTCTGTCGCCCAGACTGGAGTGCAGTGGCTGCTCCTGGCCACCGCAGCCTAGACCTGCTGGGCTCCGGTGATCCTTCCGCCTCAGCCTTCCAAGTAGCCGGAATTACAGGCATGCGCTACCACGCCCGGCTGATTTTTTGATTTATTGTAGAGATGAGGTCTCACTGCCCAGGTGGGTCTCGAACCTGCGGGCTCAGGCAATCCACTCACCTCAGCCTCCCAAAGGTGCGGGAAAAAGCATGTTTTTAAACCTTTTCAATTTTGACTTTTCAAATGCGAAATAGAAATGTGTATATAATGTGTAGTTTAAAAATTTAAATCCATCTTAATCCTAGTATCCTAAAACAGCACTGTCTGAGTGATCATACTTCTGACATTTATATAAATATCAGTTTGTATTCTTCTACTTTGCTTCCTTTGCTGAAACCTCTCTCCTGAAGTTAATCATTGTGGATGGTTGATCCCAAAGTACTCTCATTTGTACTGCTCTAATGTACTCCATTGTATAACTATGCCAGAGTATATGGATCATGAGGGCGAGACCTCATCTCTATAATAAATCAAAAAATTAGCTGGGTGTGATGGCGCATGCCTGTAGTTCCAGCTACTTGGAAGGCTGACGCAGGAGGATTGCCAAAGACCAGCAGGTTGAGGCTGTAGTTGTTGTCAGAGTGCCACTGCACTCCAGCCGGGGTGACAGAGTGAGACTCTGGCTCAAAAAAAAGTCCCTTTTCATTATTTCTGTAGAAATTATAATAATATAATAATGTGCTTGTTATCATCTGTGTGTGATTGTCCTAATTTTTCCTGAAGTTTTGATAGGAGTTTATCATTTTAATACAAGTTTCAAATGTTTGGTATTCCTGTTTCTTTTTGTTTTGTATTTAATGGATTCTGGTTCTTGTAATAGTTCCTTGCTTCTTATTCTGAGTTAATTTTCTCTTCTTTTTCTGGTTTCTTATGCATGTACTTCACTGATAAACCTCTTCTATTAATTATAAGCATTTAAGGTAATACAATTTCTTTTGACACACTTTCATACCTCATGTCATGTTTATACTATCATTTTAAAATATACTGTAATATCTGTTCTTTCATCTATGTGTTACTCAGAATTGCACTGCACTCCTTAGGTTACAAATATTTGGGGTTTTCTGGATATCTTATTGCTACTGGTTTCTAATTTAATTCTGATGTGGTCAGAAAACATACTCAGTTTGATGTCAGTGCTTTTACAGCTGAGTATATTGTATATTTTGGTGACGTTCTATATACAACTGAAAAGAAGTGCATCCTGTAGTGGCAAGTGCTTTGTTCTGTAATGTCCATCAGGCCCACAGAGGAGGGTACATCACTATCAGGCACACCACCCCCAATCTCCTATATCCTTACTCATCCTGGTTCCTGTTACTGAGAGATAAATGTTATAATCTACACCTCAATGGAGACTTGTCTAATTTTCCCTTCAGTTCTAGGGAAACTAGATGCTACTTCATGTACTTTGAGACTACATTATTAAAGGCACACATTCAGAATGGTTATGACTTTTTTCTGAATGAAACCTTTCATAGGGATTCAGTAACTCCTGTTACTTCTTTTCTCTTCTTTTGAGTTGGTCTTGTTCTGTAACCCAGGATCGAGTGCAATGGCAGGACCATGGCTCACTGCAGCCTCCACCTTCTAGGCTCAGGTAATCCCTCTGCTTCTGCCTCTCAAGTAGCTGGGACTATAGGCGTTACCACGCCTGGCTAATTTTTTAATTTTTTTGTAGAGACAAGGTCTGGCTTTGTTGCCCAGGCTGGGTTTGAACTTCTGGGCTCAAATGGTCCTCCTGCTTCATCCATCAAAAATGTGGGATCACAGTCCAGGGCCAACATGCCGAACTCCCCTTTATTTCCTATAAGCTTATCTTATTGACTGTGTTAAATATTAAAATAGGCATGGCAGCTTTCTTAGGCTTTCAAGTGCATCTCTTTCAGGTAGCACATACTTTTCTTTACTCTGACAAATTTTTGCTTTTGAAGTATTTAATACACTTATACTTGATACCATTATAAATATTGCTGGATTTAAGTAGCATCTTCACAGAGTCACTATAATTATTTTTAAGTCCCTATCTGACACTTATAGCACATCAGTTTCACGGATTAATTTAACTCTTGGCTTTGAGTCAGTCACACTTCCTTATTTCTTTGTATGGCTAGTAATTTTTAAACTATACACTACATCTTGTTGGTGAGATGTGTCAACTCTTGATTCTGAAATATTCCTCGGAATATGTTTATGCTGGCTTGTGTAGCAGATAATCACCAGCTCCTCATCTGTGGCTCCCCTTTACAAGGATGAGCCAAACTCCAGCCAGTAAGACTGCAGCTGATGCTGAGTCTCCCTGTCCCACCTCACAGAGAACGAGGAGTGTTCTAAGAAGAAACATTGCATGACCTCCCCCAATGGTTCTATGCTTTCTGTGTCTAAATTCTCTCCAATTTCTGTTTCTGGTCATTCTCCGGAGCCTTTAACAAACTGCTTTCAAATATATTTTTGCCTAAAGCTTACAATTATAGACACAAGACAGTTAATTCCATTCCTGCTAGTCTGCCATTATTGATTTGCCTTTTTGAGGAGTGTGAGGTGGGGTGGGAAAGGATTCTAGAAAATTTCCTTCATTGGGTATAAAATTCTAGGATAACAAGTTTTGGTTTTCCTCTAGCATTTAAAAAATGTAATTCCCTGGCTTCCATGGTTTCTGTTGTGTTACTGTTGCTGTCATGAAAACAATAGGTCACTTCCTGTTTAAGCTGGTTTCAGTATTCTCTCAATGGCTTTGCTTTTTTTTTTTTTCTTTTTTTTGAGCTGAGGCTTTCTCCAACTCCTGGGCTCAACTGATCCTCTCACCTTAGTCTCCTGAGCAGCTGGGACTTCAAGCAGGCACCACTGCTCCCAGCTGTCTTTGCCTTTTTTAAGCACTTTTGCCATGATCATCCCAGGCATGAATATCCTGCATAAGAGTTTCTTAACATCTGAAGTGATGCTTTAAATTTACATCAATTTGGGAAACTTTTCTTCTTTTCGGTATTGTTTCTGTCCTTGTTTCAATCTACTCTCTGGGACTATAAACCCACATTTGTTAGAATTTTTAACTTCAATCCATATGGCTCCTAAATTCTTTCCATTCCTTATCATTTCTGTGCTTTGACTTGGATGACTTCTCTTGATGCAACCTCCAGTTCACTAATGTTGCAATCTGCAGCGCCTAAGCTGTTGTCAGAGGCATCTAACAGCATATTTAATTTGAGATATTAGAAATTCTCAACCATTCTATGAAGGTGATATTGCCCTGATACCAAAACTAGACAAAGACATTATAACTACAAACCAGAGTCCGCATTTGCTTTCTATCCCCGCTGTAACACATTACTACATGTTCAGTGATTCAGAACAACACGGATTATTATCTTAATGCTGCAGAGATCAGAAATCAAAGCTGGGTCTTATGGGGCTAAAATCAAAGGCTGTAATACTTCTGCAGGCTCTAGGGAGTCACAGTTCCTCCCCCTTGCAGCATCTGGAGGCTGCGCACGGCCATGTCCTTGGGTACTCCATTATCATGTCACTTCTACTCCTGGCTTCTGCTTAGATGGTTGAAAAGACTCACAAGGAACATGCTTCATCTCTTCAAAAGCCCTTGGTATGACTGAACACTCTGACAGTCTGATTTTTCTAAGGCACTAGCAAAAGGTTCAACTACACACACCCTTGGCTTTCACTCTGGAGCACATATGGTGAATCTCTAATTTTTAACATCTTCTGCAATCTGGAATTTTGACAATTTCCCAAATTGTCAACTATTGGTTGCTTGATGCTTCATAGTTCTTCTGTCAATGTATCTCTTTCCTCTCGCATTTTATTATAAACAGCAAGAAAAAAAACAGGGTGTACCTTCACTACCTTGCGTGGAAATCTCAGCGAAATATCCAAGTTCATCACTTCTAAGAACTGCTTTTCCACCAAGTGAGCTAAGGTTTCTACCACTAAATGACACAGATTCCTCTCCCTTCAGTTTCCAACATGCTCCTCATTTTCTTCTAGCCTCACGTCAACACTAAACCTCCATGTCTACCAAGTCTGCCTGTGACAGCTTCAACTCTCTCCGCGACAGTGTGGGTTTTCTCTCCTAGATCCTCACTTCTGGGCCCTCATTAGCAGAGGGTTTACCATCCAAAGTTCACAAACAATTTGTTCGAGGTAATCTAGGATTTTCTTGGGATTTCATTGATCAAATTGAGAAGAATGAGGTTTTCTGGATTTAAATTTTTGGCTAATAATGCCACTACTTTTTCATGAGAAATAAAATTTTACTGATACTTTTCTGTTTCAATCACCTTACAGCATGATTATACCACCTTACAATAAAAATATCCTAAACTTTTGAATAGTAGGTAAGCAATAGCCATTTACTAAACAGGTATTGTTGTGGGGTAAATTTTGTCCCCCTAAAAGACATGTCTAAGTCCCAATATCTAGTACCTATGAATGTGACCAGATGTAATCAAATTAAGATAAGGAAATACTGATTTGGGGGAACCTACTTCAAATGAGAGAGAGAGAAACATACAGAGACTCACAGATATATACACAGAAGACGCTTGTGTTAAGATGGCAGGAATTAGAGTGATGCAGTTACAAGCCAGTGGATGTCAAGAACTACCAGGAACCAACAGAAGCCAGGAAGAGGCAAGAAGGGGGTCCGAAGGGGGTCCACCCTATAGCCTGCGGTGGTCCTGCTGACACCTTGATTTCAGAGTCACAGTCTGCAAACTGCTGAGAGTACATTTCTACTGGGCTAAGCCACCCAGCTGGTGGTACTTGGTACAGCAGCACTAGCACAGAAAACCCATGAGAATCACCGCCTTGCTTCACACAACAAGCATAAAGTGCTCTGCATTTACGATTCCCCATGGACCACACTCTCTTCCACTAAAGAAAGAACACGGAAAGCATACACAGCACTAACAGCAACACGAGTGAACACATGATGACGTCCAATTCATATGGCTTTTAAACTCCTTAAAATGGAAATGGCACCTAAAAAGGGAATACAAGTTAAATAAAAAGACACATTTGGGCAACACTGTACACTATATTTCACTCTCCCTTTCCAATAATCTCCATAATAAACACAACACACAAAGAAGCACAGACATGAGAATGCTACTGTGACAACCGTGAATTAAGACACATGCAGCAGTGGGATGAGTCTGGCAAATGTGCTTGGCCTTTCACATTTCTCATGAAGCTCTGGACAGACAGACTTTTGAGAAATTCTTTTCACATGATTACAATTCACTGCAGTCTTGATCTCCTGGACTCAGGTCACCATTCCACCAAACAGCTGGAACCACAGATTTGCATCTGGCTAATTTTTTGAATTATTGTAGAGGCAAGGTCTTGGCAAGTCGCCCACATTGCTCTAGAACCCCTGGGTTCAGGCAATGCTCAAGCCTCCACCTCCCAAAGTGCCGGGATTGCAGGCAAGAGCCACCGTACCCAGCCCCAAGATTTATACAATGCTCAAAGATGATAAAGAAAGACGATTAACTTTTAAAATGTTAATGCAAAAATTCAACAAACAAAACAAAAAAAGAATGAAGGGTTTTGCTACAGAATGGTACACTGAATGAGAAAATCTTTTCTTACCTGTTGAATTACTTCCGGATACAGCATGGGTAGTCTTTCTGCAATAAGAGCCAGTCCACCCATTCCTGCAAAAACTTGTAACGGTGACTGAATGGGACAAGTTTCAAGTAAAGATTCATCCAATATCCCATCCATGCATTCATCACTCGGGGTGAGAGCCTCATCTTCAGGACAGGTACCAAGTAAATCTCCGTGATCTGAACAATTAAGTGACAAATAAATGAATAAGGATGAGAAGGAGGTATATTTATAATACACTTCCATTTACAAAAGCGGATATTACTGCCTTCTATCAACTCAACAAAAGAACACAAAGCATCATCAGTTATTCTGAAATAGCGTGTCAAGCCGTAAATGACCTGTGAATGACTTTTGATCTGGTCTTCCGAATTCTTGCTTCTCGAAGTATGGTTCCTAGGCATCACCTGAGAACTTCCTTGAAAAGTAGAATCTCAGATCCTACCTTAGACCCACAGAATACAAATCTGCTTTCTTTCTTTTTTTTGAGTTGGAGCCTCACTCTGTCACCCAGACTGGAGTGCAGTGGCCGCTCCCAGCAACAGCAGCCTCAACCTGCTGGGCTCTGGCGATCCTTCCATCTCAGTCTTCCGAGTAGCCAGAATTACAGGCATGCACTACCATGCCCGGCTGATTTTTGATTTATTGTAGAGATGAGGTCTCGCCAAGTTGCCCAGGCGGGTCTCGAACCCGCAGGCTCAGGCAATCCACTCACCTCGGCCTCCCAAAGCACTGGGATTACAGGCTGAGCCACCGAGCCTGGCCCAAATCTGCTTTCAACACGATTCTATAGGTAATTTGTAAGCAGACTGAAATTTCACAAGAGCTGTCCTTTAGCCACTGTTGCAAGTTACAATTTATATTAAGTCCTCGAAAGATACTGATAGCAAGTAATATACATACATTATGCCCTAAAGTATCCCGCTAAGAAAAACTGAATAATAACCAAGACTTCTCTGACTGAAAACTAAAAAGTATACCATGTAGGTTTAACTTTGAATTACTCACTAAGGAAAACCAACAGGTTTATATGTTCAACACAACCAAACCTCATGAACACTTTTTAAAAAAAGATACATAATCCTGCTGAAAAACTGGGCTAAGGACATGTATTAAAATTTACTGAAGAAGCAAAACTAAACTATACTAGTTGGCTAAACAAACTTTAGACAGATAAATTTCATTATATCCCTATTCAAAAATAGTCAACTAAAAAATCCTCTTAAAAATATTTAATAAAATATATATGTAAAATATAAAAAGATAAGAAAATATACTATCCTAATTCTGTATGAGGAAAAAAATGTTTATGAGCATGAAATGTCACTCTATAAATTATAACTGAATTGTAAATTGGAATTCTCACTTTGATTATAAAATGACAAACAGTTCACAAAGCCATCACAGAAACAATATTAGAAATTAAACTACATGGGCTACTAAAATAAGTGATGTTATAAGAGGAATTAATGCAACTTCAATCTTGAAGGATATAATGGGAGATTTTTAGGCCAGGTACGGTGGCTCAACCCTGTATTCCCAGCACTTTGGGAGGCCAAGGCAGGAGGATTACTTGAGTCCAGGAGTTTGAGATCAGCCTAGGCAACATAGCAAAATCTTGTTTCTCCAAAAAAAATTTAAAACTTAGCTGGCCATGGTGTTATGAGCCTACAGTTCTAGCTATTTGGGAGGCTGAAGCAGAAGGATCACTTGAGCCCAGGTTGAGGCTGTGGTGAGCTGTACTCCTGCCACTGCACTCCAGCCTGGGTGACAGAGTGAGAGACCCTGACTCAAAGACAAGAATAAGAATAATAATGATGGCAATTTTGTATATTTATAAATAACTCAGTCATATTAAGTTGATGTAATAAAAACATAGGTCAATTAAGCCTTTGCTATAGAAATCCCTGGCAACTCATGTGATGGACTGTAATATTTAGAGTGGTATCACACACATACCTTTTTCAGGATGTAGTCTTTTAAAAGAATCTGTTTTTGACAGACTTGGGTCTGTGATAACTCTTGATCCCAATTTAACAGTCAGGTCTATTGAGCGATAACCTTGTGGAAGTTTTCGGTCATACAGGAGAGTTAAAAGCTGGGCAAGTGTCATTTCAGCTGGCAATGGCTGGCCTAGAAATAACATAACTAAGTTAAATCTAGAATCTAAGAAAGACAGACTTATTTGGTTCAATTTACTCAATAACTTACTGTTTTTGGTAAATTACAGGCAAGAGTTTGACTATGATAACTTTTGAAACAATTTAAAATCTTCCAGTAGAAAGTTTACAAAAATTAAATTTAGTTCTGACATCTGTGAACAATAATGTCTTAGAAAGTATTAATTAAAGTAGAAAGTATGGGCAAAATAGAAACAAAGGAAGAGACATTCCCATAAATCTGGGGCTGGCAAATTTTAAGAAGCAGGTAATAAATATCTTAAGCTGTTGAGGCCATATGGTCTCTGTCGCAACTACTAATCTACTCTGCAGTAGAACAATAGGAATGGATAAGACATTAATAAATATGCAGGGTTGTATTCCAACACAACTTTACCTACAAAAAGGGGTACCCAACTCACCAGCCATGACTTTTTGATCCCAAAAAGGGAAATCTCTTCAGATTTAGTCAGCAGTTTTATTATAATACAGCACAAAAATGGTAGTAAAACAGGTGTAGGTTAAGTAACCCTTATCCAAAAGGCTTGAAACCAGAGTATTCAGATTTTGGATTTTGTCACATTTTGGAATATTTGCATATACATAATAAGGTATTTTGGGGAGGGGACCCAAGTCTAATACAAAGTTCATTTATATTTTATATATACCTTATATTTAGCCTGAAGATGATTTTATACAGTATTTTAAATAATCTTGTGCATAAAATGAAGTCTTACACAAGTTTTTCACAAGAGGTCAGTGTAGAATTTCTACTATGGAGTCATGTTGGTGCTCTAAAAGTTTTGAATTTTTGATCAGCCCGTATCACCTTGACCAGTGGGTAGCACATTGGTCAATGTTTCTCCTTCTGCTGAGAAGAACATATTACTGAACTGCCAGTGGTCTAGCCAACAGTTCTACTGCTTGAACTGGTCCCTACAGATTTTGCCTCACAGTGCTTCTTATGTAACTTGTCATAAACTCTCTAAACAGTTATTTTATCAATAATTTTATGGCACACTGACAGGAAAATTTAGAAAGCCAGAGAAGCGGGCATGCATAACACATAACTGGAAGGAACTGTACGGAAGAAGTTTCACTAACTCATTCTGTTCAGCAATACCACCGATCGAACAAGAGTCTGGTGGCTATACAGCTGGTTTATAAGATGGTTTTAAGATGGTTGTAAGATGATAAAAATGTCTCTGATGCGTCTTCATGTGAATATTACCTGCCAAGAGTTTGTGAAACAGGTGAAACACCGGGACAGTCATGATCTTATTGGCAGCCTCTGCTCCTGAGGATGCACTTCCTATTTTATCGGGCAATGCCCTCCCCCTCCTGGATGGTGGGCGAGGTGGGGTAGCTGACACAGCACGTTTTGACTGGGATTTCAGTCCTAAAAGAAAAATAACCAGTGAGATTCTATATAGCCAACACATCCTGATCAAGGAAAAGGGTATCTGAAAAATACTTTAGAGGCCAAGCATAGTGGCTCACGCCTATCATCCTAGCACTTTGGGAGGATGAGGTAGGAGAATTACTTGAGTCCAGGAGGTTGAGACCAGCCTGGGGAACATAATGAGACCTCATTTCTACAAAAAAATAATTTAAAAATTAGCTAGGTGTGGTGACACACACCTGTAGTCCCAGCTACTTGAGAAACTGAAGCAAGAGAATCACCTGAGCCCAGAAGGTTGAGGCTGCAGTGAGCTGGGATCATACCACTGCAATCCAGCTTGAGCAACAAGACTGAGATCCTGACTCAAACACACACACACACACACACACACACATACACACACCACACACACCCTTTAGTGAAGTATGCATTCTTTAACTAATGCCAAAAGACAAAAATGTTTTTTCTAATCCAATATCTGTTCTCCCAATTCTACTTGTCCTCATGACACACCACAAATAATTTTGGCTTGGCATCTTTAACTATTTTCTAAGAAAGTAAAAACTATAGCCAGATGCTATAATCTCTGAAATACAATAGGTGACTTATTCATGTAATATGTTATATGCAAATATGTGTAAGAAATCTTGGTACCTCAGTTGATCTATCCCTGAGATAGAATACATTATTCTAATCAAGGAGTACGTGACCTATGCTGAGCCTTCCCATATGAATGAAAATCATCTCAGTTAAAGAAATAATCCTCAGTTACCCTAGCTAGCCTTTTCTTCTTCTGAAACTCAGTATTACAAATCAATCTTTCAAGTGAATTTTAAATTCATTTTATTTTCTAATTTTTATTTTTTATTTTTTTATTTTTTTTTTTGAGTTGGAGTCTCACTCTGTCACCCAGACTGGAGTGCAGTGGCCACTCCTGGCCACTGTAGTCTCAACCTGCTGGGCTCCGGCGATCCTTCCGCCTCAGCCTTCTCAGTAGCCGGAATTACAGGCATGCGCTACCACACCCGGCTAATTTTTTGATTTATTGTAGAGATGAGGTCTCGCTTGCCCAGGCGGGTCTCGAACCCGCAGGCTCAGGCAATCCACTAACCTCAGCCTCCCAAAGGCGCGGGATTACAGGCTAAGCCACCAAGCCCGGCTTATTTTCTAATTTTTAAAATGAAAACTAATGAATACATTTTCATTTTGTATTGCTTTATTATTATTGTTTTTTAAAGCAAGCAGATAATATAAAAGATACTTAACACTTACTGGACTTGTAAGGAGTATGATCCACCCAAGGATACATTATCAAGTTTAAATGGGACATCTGAACTGTCTGTTCTGAGATATTCCTGCTCTTCCTTCAGTTTTAACATATTCCCTTAAAACTTTAACTCCCTCTCCTCATGTGTACAGATAGAAACATACTTATATTTATGCTAAATGCAAATATGTACACTTCTAGTTTATTTTTAAATCTGACAACATGTCCAATAAAATTAAAAAAAAAAAAACTGGACATAAAATAAGGCTAAACATCTGATGAAATTAAAAAAAAAAAAAACTGGACATAAAATAAGGCTAAACATCCCACTGCCAAAGAGTAATGAACTTCTGATGCAATGTTTTTAAATCTTGATATTAAAAAAACATTATAAGTCAGCTTTTTACATTAATGCATTTTATTACATAAAGTTCCCATAAATAAAATTGCTATATTTTTATTTAAAAACACCAAAATCAATATGATAAAAAATAGAAACCATACCAGAGGCAACAACAACACTGTAGTTGTCCTGAAACCCATTTTCCGCCTTAACTTTTTCTTTCTCTTCATGGTTTTTCTTTTCTTTGTCATCTTTCTGTTCACTAATTAGTTTAGCTGTAATACTTGGAGTATCTGTAAGAAAACATTATTTAAAATATATTGTTTTTCCAAATCATTAAGAAGGGAAGCAATAAGTATCTCAGAGGAAGATTACACAAGATAATATTATCCCTAATATGAGGCAACAGAAAGGAATTTAGAAGAAATGTCATGAGGTAAGACTTGATAATCAATCCTTGATGCTACTGATGAAAGGAACTGGCCATTCTTAGGCGAGAATATGTAAGTACCAATCTTTAGAAAGTAGGATAACAGTATTATAATAGTACTACCTCTAGAGGAATAAAAAACCAGAAGCATGAAACTTGCTTTTATTCTGAGCTTTAGATCTGTATTTTCAACTGGGAAATAGTTATCTCAAGGTTTTTTCTAAGATACTCCTTCTCTTCCTTCAGTTTTAATATATTTCCTTAAAACTTTAACTCCCTCTCCGTATGTGTACAGATAGAAACTTACATATATTTTGCTAAATGCAAATATGCACATTTCTAGTTTGTTTATTTATTTATTTTGAGTTGGAGTCTCACTCTGTTGCCCAGAATGGAGTGCAGTGGCCGCTCCCGGCCACCACAGCCTTGACCCGCTGGGCTCCGGCGATCCTTCTGCCTCAGCCTTCCAAGTAGCCAGAACTACAGGCACGCACTACCACGCCCGGTTAATTTTTTTTTTGATTTATTATAGAGATGAGGTCTCGCCAAGTTGCCCAGGCGGGTCTCGAACCCGCGGGCTCGGGCAATCCACTCACCTCAGCTTCCCAAAAGCGCGGGATTACAGGCTGAGCCGCCAAGCCTGGCTCTAGTTTATTTTTAAATCTGACAACATATATAAGATCATAATCATTTGGGGGCAGAATGTGACTCATTCACTTTTACAGTCTCAGGACAAATTACAGTATTTGCCCACTGCAGAGGCTCAGTGAACTCATTCACTGATTACTTAGAATTTGAGGCAATAAACTCAAACTACCTAAAGCTGATATGTACTCTGCCATCAAGCACTGCTTGTTAAAAAATAGCCTGTATGTTGTTTGAAGCCATTACCCAGTAAACACAGGCAAGAAATCTAGGGGAAAATGTTCTCTCCACTTTCCTCACTGAGTACTGTAAACAGTAAGGTGACCATTCAGTTCTATTTACTCCACTTTCATCTCTTGACCAGTGATTTCATCCCTAGATTTACTAAATGTTTATTCATTAGAATCTGCCATCCAACCTAATACCCTGCAATTCTTCTACTGAAAAAATGACCAGGGCAATTTGGGTTCCCTCCCACTGTGGGAGCTTTTCTTTCCCTCAATAAATCCTGCTTTCTTTAAAAAAAAAAGCTTACTGTGGGAAAATTTCATAAATGGCTTCCAATGGTTTGTCTATACTTATAACTAGCCATCTGTCATTATTACACGTAACAATCATGATACCAAAAGAATTAAAGAATTACGGGTTCCTGAATGTCCTATAACTTTTGTCCACTTAATTGGCTTCTTATTTATGCCTTAAACTATAAAGATGCCTTGAACGTCTCTATTCATTAAGTGGCTACTGAATGGATGCAGTAAAATAAAGTTATAAAAATACTGTAACGATCTATCCTCTTTAAAAAAAAATACTGAAGTTCCACATACATCTAGTCAAAGTTAAAGAGAAGTTAATTCTTAAATCTGACTTGCCTGACACTCTGTCAAGAACATCTGATAATGTTGTTGAGACTGGCAAATGAAGAGTACGGAACTTGTGGCCTGCACCATACATTGGATGCTGGATGACATGGCTCGTAGCATTTATTCTACCTTTGTACAGCTGGAAATCAAGAAATCAAGAAGCAACTTTTTGGGATATAAGTCATTACAAAACAATCTCAAAAGCAAACAATAATTAAAAAATTCAACAAATAATACAAAATAAAGTTTATTTTATATATTTATTTAAATGTGGCATGCTTGTCATATGATCTGCCAGTCAGCTTTTGCATTAACAACACTACACCTACAGTTCCTTCATTTTTTTCTGCAAATCAAATTATACTACTCAGGATAAGGTAAAATGATGATATTTTAGGTATGAGGGATGGTGCTATCCTAGAGAGATTTTCAAGTCCTGTCACTAAGTATAAAACTTATTCTAGTATGGTTTGCTATATTAAAAGTTAAAAGAATATAGAAATAACTGCAAGCTCTAATATGCTATGTGATAGCAGACTAAAGGAATAAATTATACAGTATATGTATACACAGGTAATATTATATAATATATTATACACAGCTTATCATTAAGATTTGAGTGTTGAGTACTTACTGGACATGGAGACTGAAGAAACATTGTCACTTTCTCATCTTCTAGCATCAACTGCAAAAATAATCTCCGTATAAACCCTGAAATGTTCCCAGATGTTGGAAGGTTTCCTCTTTGAGGAGATGTCTGAAATAGTTCACAAAGAACCTGGCAAGGCAAGACACTTAAAAAGTTAAATGTGAGGTTTACATGCAGCTTTTTATTCTGCATAATAAACAGGAAATTTAAAATGTGAATTAACAAGTATATTTTAACTTACCAAATCAACAACTAAAGAACAAATAATTTAATCTTAAAATATATGAATACAGAAGCAGATAAAAAGTTAAAAATACATGAATGTTTCTATGGGGAAGGGTAATTACTACTAAGGGGTTTTCACATAATGAATACCTATAATAATTTTTTTTAACTTTAGTCAGTATCAATGTGGTAATTATACAATAAAAATATGAAAATGATATTAAAAACATGGAACAAAACCTCATTAAAAACCTGATAGATGCTACCCAGAAGCACAAAGCACATTTTCACGTATCTACCGATTATCATGTACTTGGCTGCAGGAAGTAATTTAAATACTTCCTTTTAATTAGGCACATTTCACAGAGAGGTATTTCCTCGGTAATTAATTGCTATAGACAGTGATATATTTTGCATTTCTTCTTAATAAAGCTAAATTATTCAATATTTTATTGAAAATTATGATTATCTTTCTATATATTAATAAAATTTGACTTAGCACTATTAAATGTATGTGGGGAGGTTGCTCATTGATCAGTCCACCATATCTCAGAGAGGTTCCATACCACATACTTACATGTACAATATTTATTTTTAATTGTTATTTATTTATTTTTTGAGTTGGAGTCTCACTCAGTCGCCCAGACTGGAGTGCAGTGGCCGCTCCCAGTCACCGCAGCCTCGACCTGCTGGGCTCTGGCGATCCTTCCACCTCAGTCTTCCAAGTAGCTGGAACTACAGGCGCGCGCTACCACGCCCGGCTAATTTTTTTGATTTATTGTAGAGATGAGGTCTCGCCAAGTTGTCCAGGCAGGTCTCGAACCCACGGGCTCAGGCAATTCACTCACCTCGGCCTCCCAAAGCGCAGGATTACAGGCTGAGCCACTGAGCCCGGCTTGTACAATATTTAATTGTCTCAAAAGTCTTTGAGGCAGGTATTACTAATTCAATTTTATAAATTAAACAATTTGCTCAAGGAAACACGAACTAGAAAGTAGCAAAAATTGGCAAGACGCAACTAAAATTACTCTTGAAGCAATTCTAGCTTTCAAGGTTTTTGACCACATAGACTTAAAACAATAAAATGTCTTCCATAATTTTTAATGTGATTTATCTGAAGCCTCCTATCTGAAATCCACTCTAATGCCTGAGTGAGAAACAAACTGTCAGTTAAGGCAAGCCTGTTAAGCCAAAATGCAGCACCTTGATACACATATAGCATTCAATGATGGACTGTCGAGTAGTCAAACTTGTTCCAGCAGCTGAAGTGTTCTTTTGGGTTTGTTTTTATTTGTGGGAACTTTTCTTTAAAGAAGGAGTATACAATGTATGAGTAGAATGCCATGAATTTGTCAATCATCTCAACGTAAAGAATGAATGGCTTATAAGGCAGCATATTTTAGGTGGAGGGAGGAAGTAACAGCACTTTAATCACGGTTTAAAGTCACATCTTTAAATGCCCTCAGCCCCAGACTTTACCAACACCTGGCCTCAATTCCAATAGTGCTATGTGATAGCAGACTAAAGGAATAAGATGTCTACAACACAATGCAGTTTTTCTCCTCTCACCTGTGCCATCAGCTTTTGGTTGTTAGGGTGGCATGAGATGCACTGCAGGAAGAATGCGACCGTCGCATTCTCAATGGCTGTGCGCTGCGGAGTGGTCAGCCCCGTTGTGGCAGCTGAAGGAAGAGACGCTGATCTTGCACAGGCCTGTGGTGCACCTATATTATGTCCTCCAGAAGTGGATCCCGAGTGACACAACAAAAACAAAAGTGCTGTCCACAGTGGGTTGACTTCAGAACCACCAAGCCAATCTTTCATAATATGGCTATTGCCAACTTCTGTCAAAAACCGAAGAATAGGAGCCACCAGGTCTGCAGTGACAGGCATCTTACTGCACTGTGGGGAGACGTGATGCCGTCTGAGTTTGTCCTGGGAAAGATCTATAGACTGAGCAACGCTTTCTGAGTAAGAAATGTGGCTAAAGCAGAAACTAGCCAGACTTCTCACGAGAAGAGAAGGCAGACCTGAGTCTAGTAACTGTTTAATAGCTTCTGGAGACTGAGAAGAGGAAGCGAGGGTTGCCAAGTGCGATTCAGTTAGGGCGAGAGGTGCTTGTGCATTTTTAGAGTCATCTGTTAAAGACGAACTAAGATCCTGCTTTTTGCTGTCGTCTGTCATGGACAGTCGATGGTGACACTGCACTGGAGGAGGAGTAATTCCCATCCAGCCCATGAGCAGCGAAAAATAGTTTGGGTGTATGTGACACATTGAGCAAAGCAGACTGTCAACAGCTTTCTTCAAAACCATACTGCAGGGCAGAGACATGGACCAGTTAAAAAGCAACCTAGAAAAACAAGACACCAAGTTAGTGATAGTTTTTTTTTAGAAGGAACTCATTGTTTCAAATATTTGTTATTAGCTATCAAGTTGTACTCTGACACAAATTGTATTGCTTACTTAACATTAAATAGTATAACCTTATAATGTATTATGATAAATATATTATGCTTATGATAGATTTATTATTTAAGAATTTAGGTAGATTAGAAGTTAGGACAGACTTATAAATGAGTACAAAAAATCAAGTAACCTACATTTAAATGATTCTACCTGGTTCAATCATTCTGTGTGACCTCAGAAAAGTCATGTAAAAAAAAAAAAAACAACAAAAGATGGGTGTGGTGGCTCATGCCTGTAATCCCAGCACTTTGGGAGGCAGAAGCAAAAGGATTGCCTGAGTCCATAGGTTCAAGACTAGCCTGGGCAACTTGACAAGACCTCGCCTCTACAATAAATCAAAAAACTTGATGGGTGTGGTGGCACATGCCTGTGGTTCTGGCTACTTAGAAGGCTGAGGTGGAAGGATTGACTAAGTCCAGCAGGTTGAGGCTGTGGTGGCCATGAGCATGCCACTGCACTCCAGCCTGGGAGACAGAGTGATGCTCTTGACTTTAAAAAAAAAATTCCAAAAAATTTTTAGGTTAATTTCCACATAACTGTTTGTAAACTAAAAACTTCTTTTTTTTTTTTTTTTGAGTTGGAGTCTCACTCCGTTGACCAGGCTGGAGTACAGTGGTACACTCATGGCCACCCCAGCATCAACCTCCTGGGCTCCAGCAATCCTTTCTCGTCAACCTTCCAAGTAGCCAGAACTGTAGACACATGCTACCACGACTGGCTAATTTTTGATTTATTGTACAGACAAGATCTCACCAAGTGCCCAGGCTCGTCTTGAGCCTGTGGGCTCAGGCAATTCTCTCACCTCAGCCTCCCAAAGTACTGGGATTATAGGCTGAGCCACCGAGACCAGTCAACTAAAAACTATTAAGTGAGATTTAATAATAAGTCATGGGTTATGCCAGCTAGTAGAGCCAAATATGAAGATGACACACAAGACAACAAAAGGCTGCCTTTTATAAGTCATGGAACTCTTCAGAAATAGATAAAATATTCTGTTACAGACTTACCATTTATGAATCAGTAAGTTCAGCAAAGCCTTGAAGAAATGTAGGTAAATGAAAACTACTTGTCAAAGGACAATCTAGAAAGTAGTCTCAAAATTTCTAGCTCTACTTTTCCTCCACAGTTGCACATTAAAGATAAGCAAACGGAACTGAGAACAGACACTAGGCAGGAACTGCATTCTGATTTTTAGGTAAGAAAAGCAGGCAGTGCTGCTAATGTATCTTCATACAACATGGTGATAAATTAATTACATTTGTGTGACATCTCATTTCAAAAATATACCTGATTATATTCACTACTTTCAAAATACTATGTTGATACAAACAAACATGTAAAATATTCTGTTCTACCAAGTGAATACCTAAACTGATCTAGTACTGGGAACAAAAGAAGGATCTCACAACTCATACTGACTCAAAGAGCTCTTGGTCCAGCAGCGCTGGCAAGTCATACTCGACAAGCAGCTCGTAACTGTGCCACAGAATTGCCGCCACGCAGTGCAGGTGAGATGGAGATGGCATGAGAAGACCATACTCGATCGCTGAAGAGTTGGGGCAAACGCAGTCTATCCGGCCGCCTCTCTTCAGAGCCGCCACTCGTGCAGAGTCACTGACCCATTTCAACAAGGCCTGAATTCTTAAAGAAGAAAACGAATTCAAATAAGTAGCTACAGCACACAGCTGCCATGTAATATAGATACACATCATCTTTGCAAGGTAAACAGTGTATTTAACAGAATAATAAACTAATTGCTCTTCATCATTTTAATCTGAAACATGAGGAAAAGAGATACTGTAAGCAACAAAGATATAGTTCCAGTTCCAGCAATCTTACCGATTTTAAGAGACCAAAAGATGAGATAACACAACTATGACTCAGTAAGTAAGCACTGACTGCTTATCTTACTTATAAAAAATATAAGTTTCTAGAATTATAAGGCACATGCCTTAACAAACTCACTCTTCTCTACATTTTCCCTCATCTTACAGCAAATCCATACAACCCAGAGCTGTGATCTGGGGCCAATTCTTCATTGTGCCAAGTTTCATGAAATGCAGCACGTTTCACAGTCCTGGACCCTTAGCAGAAAGTAACAGGAGCAGCCACCCACCCTCATTTATTGTGACAGGAGAGTACAGCCTCAACACATACCTATATTTCTTCAAGTACCACCTAGTCCTCATCCTCTGGAGCTGGGCCCCAGAAAGACACACCCAAATGTGAGCCACTAGCTGAGAACAAAAAACTCTTTAAAGCAATTACACTTTCGAGTTTGTACAAAAAACAAAAAAATGTGGTAAGATTCATTACATCAACTTCTTAAAACACTGTGTGTTTGGTTTCTTCCTAGTTTCTAGTTTTAAGCATAAAATTCTTTGCTTCAGGGTAAAAGATATTATGGGCAGGAAGGTATATAATACTAACTAATCTCTACACTGAAGGACTGGAAGACCCTTAAATGTTTGATTTCTTATGACAGAAATAAAGACAGGGTACCTGTAAAATCAATGCTTGTATACCTAACCCTGAATTGTACCCCACATCTTTATGATAATAAAAAAATACAAAAAATAAAAAGCAAAAGCTTTTAATTTAGAAACAAACAAACAAACAAACAAAAGAAATAAAGACAATTCAGAGAAGGAGAATGAAGGTAACAGAATTAGGGGAAGTAATGTGTTCTCAGTCCTTAGCAGCCAGCAATCTTGTCACTGACACCAGTTCTAAATTATAAACATTCATGTTTTAAAAAGTACTATGCAAAGAAAAGATTTAAGCTTAATTTTCTTCTTGTAAAGATAAAAACCATAAAAATATTTTTAAAATTTTAAAATCCTGAGACATTTCAAACACACTGTTCTGGATATTTAACACTGATTTTTAAAATACATTTTATTCACTACTAGCTATTGTGATTCAAATTTGGTATAAATTGATATTTACTTTGTCAAAAAGCATTTTAATCTATTTTGAAATGGAAAAGTAGCTAGCCTATATAATATTCTGAAGATATGCTGAAGATAAATTTACTGTGCTGAAAATATGATTTTAAAAAGTTTAATCAGAAGAAGATGGGAGTAACAAGTCAAAAGGTAAAAGTTACTATTATACTATTTAGATTAAACAGCTTTTCCCCAGAATGCCTTCACTGCCTGGCTCATATTCCATGTCCCCAACTGCAACATCTCTTTGTGGGTGACACTGTTCTGTCTTCTGAGTGCTGGGGACACAAAGCAGGACTGAATGAACTTGTCTCTCTGGGATCTAGCACTACTTGCCATATGGTAAATACTTATAAAATGAGTAAATACTCACAAAAAATTAATAATTTTAAAAATTTATAAAATGGTTAATAAAGACCAAATGATTTCATTTAAGTATATAAGAATCAATGTATTAAAAGATAACATAACTAAGGAAATAATCTCTCAAGATTATTTATATGATTTGTATTTTCACACATTCTATAAATATGTTCTTCTAATATCAATGACATATACAGAACCAGAGAATGCCAAAGATTTGCTCAAAAATTTACCAACAAATATGTGTTTCAAAACTACTTGAAGTTCTTAGCAATTGGGAAGCAAAACACATCACATTAAGAAAACTCATCAAAATCACCTAAAAGAAAAAGAATCAGTAAAGATGCAGCCTAAGTGTTCAGAAATTATTTACTTGGTATTATAATTATATTTACTTGTTTAATTTTGTGGCAGGAAGCAGAAAAAAAGAGGGAAGAGTGCTTCATAAAAAACTGTCAACGAGTAGTATAAATAATCAATAAGTAATCTTTTAAAAAAGACTATCACCACATCAAAACAGTCTAAATACCAACTATAGACACAATATTCCTACATTCATATACATTTAGCAAGCACTATCTAAGACAGTATGAATATGACACCATCACCTTACAAGGAACCCATCACAACATGGTCAATTGAAAAATATGTAAGTTTATTCCATTCTATTCCTCAAAAGAAACAGTAATTAAAAATTCCACTTGGCCGGGCTCGTTGGCTCAGCCTGTAATCCCACACTTTGGGAGGCCAAGGTGAGTGAGTTTCCCGAGCCTGTGGGTTTGAGACCCACCTGGACAACTTGGTGAGATCTCATATCCACAATAAATCAAAAAAATTAGCCAAGTGTGGTAGCGCACACCTGTAGTTCCAGCTACTTGGAAGACTGAGGTGAAAGGATCGCCGGAGCCCAGCAGGTCGAGGCTATGGTGGCCGGGAGTGGCCACTGCACTCCAGTCTGGGCGACAGAGTGAGACTCCAACTCCAAAAAAAAAAAAAGGAAATTTCCACTTAAGTTCAAACTTGCTTAAAATATGTTCAAATGTGTGGAAATTTATGTTTACTGTTCATGAAAATCTAAAGAAGTTGCATCATGTGATGCTCATTGGTAAACATACACTAAGTATATAACAGTACTGTCTTAATTTGTATGCGGTCATCTAGGGAGAAAGTATCCCAAGTAACATTCACCACAGCATGTGTGCATGTATGTGCTTAAAAGAAAAACGAGATCATCACGTACCTGTCTTTTGTTCCAGGATCCTGAGTGGTGCCAAGCTGGTAAAGAATATCTATTGTGGAGTCAGAAGAGAGTCCATTCAGCCTTCCAAAAAGTAAAGGGCTATTCAAATCTTGCAACAAAGAATCAAAAGAAAAAGTCTGCTAAATAAGCAAATTGGTGATGGGAAGCTTTGCTTAATTAATTCAATTAATTATTCTTTAAAAGTAAATCCTCCATAAATTCTAACAAGAAAAAAACAAACTCCAAAATTAATGGAGTCATAAGAGAAATTAATTTCAGAAACAGTTAATCACAAAGATTATATAGCTCGACTGCCATAACTTTGCAGACATGTCAAAGTCAGAATATCTAAGTTATTTGTCACCTGTGGGATCACTGCCTGATGCCGCACAATTTCTCAGGAGAATGTCTATAAGCTTCAGGCCAATCCGAGTGGACTGTAGGCCTATCTTCACGAGCACAACCTCAATGTTTGGTGAATGCATCCCACAGTACGGTGACATCAATAAGGCTGCACATGTCTGCAGCAGATTGGCAGTGGGGGCAGCTGCACTGGCCATCATTCCTTCCAGGTCACTTATGTGAGTAAGACAATGATGTAATAACCGTAACCATCCAATACTGAAATACACAACACAAACTGTGTGGTCAGTGTGAGCAACTAAAGTTATTTCAGGGGTAGAGTGTTCGTTTTTAAAGATTAGCATGCTGTGTTTCATAAATAGCATTAATCAATTTTAAAAAAACATGTTTTACAATGCTGTAAAATCAATAAAGAATTAAACACACAGTAAATTTCCCCTATATGATAATCACACACAAACAGACTTAAGTGTTCACAGCATTTAGAAACTAGGTGCTTGCTTTTTAAAAAAAATCAGATAGGAACATGTCTTTATCCATACATATAATTATACATATATTAATGCAAACAGATTGCATGCACAGACTTGCAGAACTATAAAGTCTTGGTACCCTGAGAATAGAAAAAAAATCCTAAAAAATTTTTTTTCCTTTTTGAGTCAGAAACTCACTCTGTTGCCCAGGCTGGAATGCAGTGTTATGCTCACAGCCACCACAGCCTAGATCTGTTGAGTTCAGGTGATCAATTCTTCCACCTCAGCCTTCCAAGTAGCTGGAAATATAGGCATGCGCCACCATGCCTGGCTAATTTTTTGATTTATTGTAGAGATGAGACCTCGCCAAGTTGCCCAGGTTGGTCTTGAACCTGTGGTCTCAGGCAATCTTCTCACCTCGGCCTCCCAAAGTGCTGGGATTACAGGAGTGAGCCATTGCGCCAACCTTGAAATTTTTTTTAATCAGGGAAAATGTCCAATAAAATCCATCTATGAAATTTTCAAACATTAAAATTTATCAGAAAAATATTAATTAAAGGATATGTTCAGGTCCTTATCTGTTTGACTCAGATGCAGTCCTTTTGTTAACTAGCAATGAAAAATTACCACATAAGACCAGGTGTCTTGTTTCTAAGGTCACCTGGTTTGACTTAGATGTACTCCTGGCTACGATGTTTGGGAATCCCTATAATAGACTATGACCAAAAAATTACAATCCAAAAAACTGGAACCTATACCATGTAGTGTGGATTATGTCACAGACTAAACAAACACAAATCTCAATTTTAATCGGGCTCAGCATTCTGCTTCCACAAAATTACTGTCCCTATTACACTTAGTAAAATGATATCACACAGATTCCTCTGAAACAGAGAACTTCCAAAGACCGAAAAAAAGGAAAAAAACACAGAATGAGTAATTTCCAAAAAAGCACAGAAACCGTTTTTAAGAATGAGAAATTACACACCTTGTTTTAGACACCTGGTCTTCAGATGGAAGAAAAGGATTATTAACTGTTGCTGAAGAAGTGGTACCAAAAGCGGTGAGGCCCAGTAACTTAATTTGTGAAAGGCCTAGTGTGCTGGCATCTCGCGGGCGATGGAGTCTAAGGCAGACAGCAGAAGCCACTTCAGCTTTCACAAGCTGAATTTTTATGTAGGTGAGACCACTTGTGACAACAGGAGTGGACAAAGGTAGCATATTTACTCCATCTGCACTTACTTCAACAGACACTGAGGACGGGCAGGCTATAGGAGAAGAAAAATGAACAATCCCAAAAGAAAAGTGAACTAGATACCATAACCTAATAAAAATCCCAGAAAATAGCAGCTGAGTTACATTCATTAGGAAAAATTTAAGTGTGTACAAAATCATACTTTGACAACGACTTCCACCAAAATTAATTGTGAAGCTACTTTCCAACATAAAACATTTGATCCACAATAAAAATGATGATCATGAAACATTCTAACTCACCTAAAAAAAGGTAACCAAAGCTATGTAATCCACATGGACTTGATGCTCCCAAGGAAAAACCCAGGCAACTAGGCAATCACTGTATCATTTTTAGTTTACCCAAAATTATCACAAGTACAGAACTACATTTGATTAGGGTTTACTGTTTTGGATAATTTAGGAAAGAAGAAAAAATATTTTTCCACCAACTGATCATTTCCCTACTACCATACTGCCATGTTTTTCAACACTAAGTTTAAACTCACTGCTGAGTTTAGAAATTGTTTTCACCTCTAATCTTCTTTTTAACTTTCAAACCGAGCCAAATACCCATAAAACTCCATTCTTGCTAAAATTTAAGGAGTCTAAATGAAGTATCTGGCAACTACTACAGGAAAATCATTTCTTCTTAGCATAACAGGGAAGCCCATATAATAAAAGTATTTGTCAACTAAAACACAGTTTGAAATTTCACTTTAATTTTAATGGTAAAATTAAGAAGTAACCTTTTTTGTATGCCAATTACATGCCTGGTTTACACTTTAAAATAGACAAGTCAGATAGATCAATTTTTAAGTTTGACCTTCAAAACCTTCAGAGGAAAGTATTATCCACATTTTTCACAAACAGATAAGTAAAAGAGATGAAGTAATCCACACTCCCATAAAAACAAATGGCATACCTTATAGTCAAGCCCATGTTTGACTCTGGAGACTTGTTACATATCTTTCCATTTCTGCTCTAATCCAATAATAAACCATACTTTTTTTTTAAAGTACACTTAAGTAAAGAACACCTAAGCCAGTTAATTTTTCATAACACAGTTATCCTTTGTAATATGCTTCCTATCACAATTGCCATGTGCAAAATCTTGCCAAACTTCAAAAGCCACTATGTACATGACCCACTCCTCTGCCTTCCAAATAAAAGTTCCTCATTTTAGATTTTCCCCTAAGTCCTGTATTGTCTTATATTTTGCCTTTAATATAGCTATTTTTTACCTTCTAAAATACTGTGTTAGCATATCATCCTTCTGCACTATACATTAATTACATTTGTTTTTATGTAAGTAGTGGGGATTTCACAAGTAAGTAAGATTCAATAACAGTCTAATCTTGCAAGTAAGCAGAAAAAAATTCATTCTTCCAAATATTGCTAGGAATCTACAAAATTTCTCACAGCCTTTCATGCAATTATTTGAGTGGCATTTGAGAGCAGTGAGAATCAATGAACATAAACAAATGTAACAATTTCAACAATTATGGTAAAATTATAATCATACTAAAAGAATCTATGAACCATAAAGTATGTAAAACAGTATTTCACATTCTTTATGAATACTTGAAAGACTTCCTTAGTCTATAACTCATTTTCTAAAAATTATTTTCCTTACAAAGTTCAGTAAAATGTATTCAATGAACATGCATCAAACAAATGATACAATATTATGATAAAAATTGTAACATTACAATAAATACAAAATACCGCAAATTTTAAAATCACATTCAAATGATCAAAATATTATAAAAATTTTCACAAAGGTAATTATCTTCCAGGAGAGGGACAGATACAAATAAATCTATGCTAATAGTTTACAGTACAGGGTTAGAACTGAGGACCAGGTTAGGAAAACTAAGATAGCTAAGCACAAGTGTGTAAATGAACTCAACACAATGCTAAAGCTTAATAAATCCGAAAGCAAAGGTGGAAAATATATAACTGAAATATATTTGTTTGGATTTCATCAAACATTCTATTTGTCTGAGTTATGTTTCATGGAAAATTATTTGGTAGTGTTAAATATCCTAATAAAAACTTCAAAAATTATACAATCTGGCAATCATATCTAAGTGTACCACTTCTCACTATCTCATTTTCGAATGTTCCTAGATTATAGTATATTCTCACAATGCTTCTTTATGAATGACTACTCACTTGCAAGAGATGCAAGGTGAGGCTGTATATGAATCTCCTTAAGCAGCACTGCTGCAGGAAGGTGAATGGTGAGGTCGCACCAAGCCTCTTCGGGCAGAAAAATGTAGGACCAAGCCGCAGAGCGAGCTCTTCTGTGGGGAGGTGTGGCCTGCAAAAGCACTTCAGCGGGCTGGGCAGCAGGACTGCTAGACGTGATTGTACCTGAAGAAGATATTTTAAAGGAAATAAGAACTTGCAAAAGAAATGTAACAAAGCATTAAAAACTTTGCAAATCATAGTAAATAAACTAGGAAAATTAGCAGAAATGTGAACATCTGTGGCTAGCACCCTAGGAGTGACTGACTGTAGGAATATTCACAAAACATCAGGACATCCAAACGGCAAGGTGACTAGTTCATTATTAACTGCTGCCAAACTTATACTAATATGATAAATGAAAACTAATGACAATAAATCTAGCAATATAATTCTGAAACTAATTTTTAAAAACTGTTCAGTATCTTTCATCTTTCAAATCTTTCTTTTAAGATGTCAATGTTTACTTTTTTATCCAGCCCACAATGGCTATCTAAATTCAAAATCTTTTTAAAGATAGTACCACTTAAGAAGAAATAAGTCCAGCTGGGCGCGGTAGCTCAAGCCTGTAATCCCAGCACTTTGGGAGGCCGAGGTGAGAGGTCTGCCTCAGCCCACAGGTTTGAGAACAGCCTGGTCAACTTGGCGAGACCTCATCTATACAATAAATCAAAATAATAGCTGGGCGTGGTAGCATGTGCCTGTAGTTCCGGGTACTTGGAAGGCTGAGGCAGAAAGATCACCGAAGCACAGCAGGTAGAGGCTGTGGTGGCCATGAGTGTGCCACTGCACTCCAGCCTGGGCGACAGAATGAGATGAGACACCAACCCCCCCCCCCAAAAAGAAGAAGAAATAAGTCCTTTAAAAGTGATTAACATTCAAAGGGAAAGCTTACATAAGATTCTCTATTTAGATGAATAAACTATACTTCTACTTAAACTCAGAAATAAAAATAAATTTTACTACTAAAGAACTGTTAAAACATTCCTTCTAATCAGTACAACATTTTGATATCCACCACACTTAAAATCAACTGTCATTTAAATGGTGATAGTACAATTACTTTAACAACTAATTTTGCTTCATGCCAGCTAATAAGTAAAATTCATACCAGTAAGATTTAATAACACTTTTCTTACCTAGGGGTGCAAAGTTATGGATCCCTTCTGCATTGTCAGGCTCAGAAGCTAGTATTCTTGTTTTCAAAGTGCTATCAACAGCTTTATTCGGACCACAATCAAGAAATTTCATGATAGTTGATACCATACTTCTTGCAGTGTTCACAATAGCCCTTGTACTAGTAACCATATTGTTGCATATGAGCTGAACACCACCTAAATTTACACAGAATACAAAATGAAAACTATCTTAGGATAGACAGCTCAGCATCAAGAGTCAATTTACAGAAAAGACTACAAAAATGAGAACGTAACACACTAGTGTGGTATTACACTTAAATGCAGTTATTAGAATTCTTTCTTACCCATATCGTGGAATGCTTTCAAGGCTTCACTAGTATCCAACACTCTCAAAATAAACCACAATAATGGCTCAGATAACTGGCAAGTAGCAAGGGAGCCCTTAAAAAATTAAATATGTATATTATGATTTTATATCTTCCTATGAATAAGGTCAACTAAACTACTCAGTACATGTAATTTTTATAAACTGACAGCATTAAATAACTAAATATAAAATGTCTGCCAAAATACATAAGAAATCTCACCTGACTCAGAAAGGAAAAGAACCATTTCCTTTTTCACCACCACCATCACCATCACCACCACCACCACCACCACCCCCACCTCCCCACCCCCCATCTGGAGTCTCACTCTGTCACTCAGGCTGGAGTACAGTAGCACACTCAGTCAATGCAGCCTCAACCTGCTGGGCTCAGGTGATACTTTTGCCTTAGCTTCCAAATAGCTGGACCTACAGGTACATGCCACCATGCTCGGCTATTTTTAAAATTTATTGTAGAGAGGAGGTCTCGCCAAGTTACCCAGGCTGGTCTTGAACACCTGGGCTCAGGCAATCCTCTCACCTCTGCCTCCCAAAGTGTTGGGATTACAGGCGTGAGCCACCACGACTAGCCCAACTCAGACCATTTCAAAAGTATCTGTATTCACCTACCACTATCATTTTTTTTTACCTTAATGTGCATTTATTTTGTTGTATACTAGATACTAATTTCATCTAAAACTTGAGCTTTCTCAAGTATCTTTGTATTTTCCAAAAGGGATAAAGATAAATATATACATTCAACAAATATTTAAGAAAATGATAACTACACATTAACATACAAAAAAACTCTTAACTGTCTTAACATCTGAATTTCAAAAATGGGAAATGGGCAAGGAAGTAAAATAATTAACTAGATCCTACAGTTTCATGTTTAAAAAGGAAATATCAAAAAGCAAAATTCTCGAACATATTTTCCCCCTATTTTACCCTAACCCCTTTTAATTGAAAAAATACATATTAACATAAATGTGAAAAAAATATTTATATTACATCTTCTCAAATAACATCTATAGAGAGCATCTTGATAGTCAACCATGCTATTTTTAGGAAAAAGAAAAATACTGCTTCTTGGGACTATAGAAAGAAATCTAAAATAAAATCCAAGATCATGTTAAACATTTTATTCTTCGTAATACTATAAGAAAGGAACTGGCCATAGTGGGAAACTGCTGGGGGGCGGGGGAGGTACCTCATCAACAAGGGCATAATGAACATTTGTATACATAACCCTGAATTGTGCCCCAATTATTTAAAATTTAAAAAAGAACAACAAAAGTGTTATTCTTGTATCATTGTGGTCATCATTGAAAATACAACTTCAAGGACACTTTACTTTCCAATTTGTATTAATAATCCATAGCCCTCAATTAACTGTTGCTTTTCACCGTCCAATATATAATATGAATATACTTATTTGTCTCCATCCTATTTATCCACTTGCATTGCAAAACATTTATTTTAACTACTGCTACTGTTGCTGTCTTGAACTTACTTGTCTGCCCATATAACCACACGCCATGTAGGTCAAGATTGGCTGCAGCATCATGTGTACTGTTGAGGCTTTCTTACTAAGGGTTGTCAGTATGGTAAATAATCCATCCCCAACAGATATGGCATCTAACCCACCATGAAAATTTTCATGTTTAGTGAGATGCAATCCACTTGCCCCTAGTAAAATAAAATATCAGACTTTAAAAAAGCATATCCTTAAAAACAAATAAAAATTAAAAGAGAGGCTTAAAAGCCATTTTCCCAAGACCACTGAAGGATAAGTACATAGTATTTGTGCACACACATATACACATTCACACTTAGAGATTAAATTATCTATAATATTCAGTGAAACCTTTTTTAATATTGTCTAAACACGAGATACCCCCGTTGTTGATAATAATAAAAAGAAGTTTCTGTTATATGACTAAGTAAATACAGGCTACCAACAGATCAAAAAGTGAGGAAGACAGAAACAAGTAACATTGTTACGTAACTATACTTAATCTAATCAGAGAGTAAAGTCGTTCCCCATATTCTGAAAAAGAAATACCAACAAGCAAGACTAAAAAATACACCAGCAATGGCTTTTGTCACAATTTACAGAAATTCAATTATTTTAAGAATTTAATGTTACTATATTAGCTTTCAAATAGGTAGACAGTTAAGCAACAACTCACAAACTTTATACTGACAGATGTCATAGAAACTTACCTTTTGAATAAAATTTTATATTTCATTTTTTTAAAGAAAATGTGAGCCGGGCTCGGTGGCTCAGCCTGTAATCCCGCGCCTTTGGGAGGCTGAGGTGAGCGGATTGCCTGAGCCCGCGGGTTCGAGACCCGCCTAGGCAGCGAGACCTCATCTCTACAATAAATCAAAAAATCAGCCGGGCGTAATAGTGCACGCCTGTAATTCCGGCTACTTGGAAGGCTGAGGCGGAAGGATCGCTGGAGCCCAGCAGGTCGAGGCTGCGGTGGCCGGGAGCGGCCACTGCACTCCAGTCTGGGCGACAGAGTGAGACTCCAACTCAAAAAAAAAAAAAGAAAATGTGAACAAATCTTACTGATCTCTAGTACAAGCTTTGATGTGAAATTTTTCACGGTGAAATGTAAGAGATGCTTAGCTATAAATCATAAATGCCTGATTTATGAGATCGATTTTTCATGTTTAACTAAAAGTTACGTTAGTATTTTCTATTTTTTTATTTTTATTTATTTATTGACTTTTGAGTTGGAGTCTCACTCTGTCGCCCAGACTGGAGTGCAGTGGCATGCTCCTGGCCACCTCAGCCTTGACTTGCTGGGCTCCGGCGATCCTTCCACCTCCGCCTTCCAAGTAGCTGGAACTAGGCGCGCGCTACCATGCCCGACTAATTTTTTTTGATTTATTGTAGAGATGAGGTCTCGCCAAGTTGCCCAGGCAGGTCTCAAACCCGTGGGCTCAGGCAATCCACTCACCTCAGCCTCCCAAGCGCGGGATTACAGGCTGAGCCACCGAGCCCGGCTTCTAATATTTTTTAAATAGACATGAAATTTCTCAATATTTCACTTTCATTTACTAACTGAAGCTACTCTGTAAGTGTTAATAAACATCAGTCATACTGTTACAATAAAGAAGTTTTATACTACAAAGTAAAAAGAAAATGAACCCACACATTGCTAAAGAACACAGACACAGGACCAGAAACAAGCATACGATTGCTATTATCAATGCATACCGATGATCATTGCCATGGCGCTGCTGTTGCATAGGCCCAGAGCAGACAGAATCTGGCTCATGATCTGCTGGTTGGCTAAGACGAGGTCGGCAACATATGCAGGTGGTCCTTGAGGACTGGAACTGCTTCCATTGGCATCTTTGCCTCCTGAGACTTTTTCTTCATCAGAAACGCTATCTGATGTATTGGTGGTCACAGACACTCTTGCACTGTATTCCCTATTGCCTGAAAGAGGCAGCTGCACTAAAATGTTAACAAGTTTTAGCAAATCAAACATGAGTTGATCTCTTGTCATTTCACCACAAACTGCCTTTGCATCACCTGGACGAATGAGGTTGGCAAAGAGTCCCCCAAAGCACGCTCGTGCACCCACAGAGCTATCAGATCCACTTCTAGACATTACTTTGTCTGAGCAAGTGATATAGTGGTGCACTAAAAACGTGACAGATTCTATCACAGCAGAAATAGTACTAACTGAAACAACTTCAAAATTCTGCTCCAGAGTGAATTCTAAGAGCTTCACTTGAGCATCGAGAGGTCCTTGGCCTGTCTGGAAAGCACCCCTGCAGAAAGAGAGACAGGATTAAAAACTAAAGCATTTTAGGTAGTTTTGAAAGAAGTAACCCCTTAAACCACAATACAAGAAAACCCAAAACCTTGATACAAGAAAGCTAAGCAATAATTCAGCTCTTGGTGTTCACGACTTCATTTAGTAGTTAGCAGCTGCCCTCTCTTCTAGAGTCCTTGTTCTTGTCCCCAAGTTATACAAACTCAAAAGCAACATTCCCTTCCAAATGGAAAACTAAAGGATAAGATAATTAAAGACATGGTTTTAAAGCTACAGACTAGGGCAACCAAAAAGCTCGAAAAAATTGGCACCTCCAAGGAGATGTACCATGAGCACTAGCTTTCCTGGGGTAGAATTTGGGAAGAGACGCTGGCAATACACAAAAGGGTAAGAAGAATTCAGCTAAAATGTTTTCTATGACTTCAGGCTGAGAGTTTGCTAGGGTGGTAACACAGATCACACCACATCCAGAGGCCCTCCTCAGGCCCTTGGCCCTCTGTCCATCAGCTGTCTGCATCTATTCTATTTGGCTGCTGATGAGTTTTATCTTTTTATAACAAACCAGAAAACGTATATAAAGTGTTTTTCCTGAGTTCTGTGAGTCATTCTAATGAACTCCCGAGCCTGACGAGGGAGCTGTGAGAAGCCCCGGTTTGCCTGAAGACCCTGGACTTGCAAATGACAATGAAATGAGGACAGTTTTGTGGGACAGATCCCTGTCCTGTGGAGTCTGATGATAACTGTGGGTAGTGTCCTAACAGAACTGAATGTAGGACACCCAGCTGGTGTCATGGAACCAGAAAGCTGGTGTTGGCAAAGACACCACATATTTGGTGTTAGGGAAGAAAATCCTCAAATACCATTAAGCAGTTTCCCACCAATGGATATCAGAAAATGCTATCTTGCACAGAAATAGCCCAAGATTCATGATTGAGGGTGACGAATATAAACTCTTTCTATTAAAAAAAAAAAAATCACTGAGAAAGTCCCACTTCTGAGGCCCAATCACAGAGAAGCTGCCAAAGTCTGGGGCAGACCCAGAATGAGGGTACACCTGCCACAATAAGATGAAATGGAAACAATCGGGAAACACACCAATAAACCCTTCCTCCTTAATCCCTCCTGTTCCCCGGCTTCTTTGGTCCCAGATACATCTCCAACAGATGTTAAGGAAAAGCACATCTGGAGGATTACATGCTAATTCTCTATCAGCAACATATGAGTACAACGAAATTTACCTTTCAGTTGAAAGTATATGAATCAGCTTGAGCAAAAATTCACTGAATATCTGAGGACATGTTGAAGAAAGATGTACTTGCAACCGGGTAAGAAATTCTTGCATAGCTTGTGTAGCTGTTGGACCCACCTAAGAGAAATGCATATCCACTGAAAACTACTTGGTAACACCATCTATATAATCTCTTATTTTAAAAGCATCATGTATGAAGTCAAGAGCTACACTGTTTTAACTTTTCATATAAAAACAAAGATATGAACAATAAACAAATGTATATCTGTATATCCACTGAAAACTAAGCAACGCCATCTACAGAATCTTTTCTTTTGTAAGATCAAGTGTAAATTCAAGAGGTGAACAGTTTTAACTTTTCATATAAGAACTAAGATATTAACAATAACAGCAGAAAATAAATGCTGTTTATATTATTATATTACTATATATTATAATAAAATATACTAATATATTATTTAATATAGTAATATATTATTATAAATAAACATACATTATTTATATAGATTATGCATATACATAAATTTTCCAGAGAATAAAAACTTCTGATTCATTTTAATAATTAACCTTATTAATTATCCCATTTCAAAACAAAAGAAAGTACAGGAACAGAGGGGTCAAGTGATCCATAAAAGGTCGTGCTTCTAATAAGTAGCAAAGCAAGCACTAAAGTCACGGAAACACAAAACACAAACGAAAGCTAAAAGTCAATGTCCACCAAGTCATGAAAGACTGCCCTCTCACACTTCTGCCTCATCAAGGAAAGAAATGATAGTGAATGAGGCATGCTTTGAGAGGTGTTGTAACACTTTTACTTATTATTTGATTTGATTGTAATCTGGTTTGATGGACAACTCATAAAAACCTGCAAGAGTTCTGGAAAAATACAATGCCAATATAATCCTCCTAATTATTTTAGAGTTCAATAAAGTTAATTTCTAATACTGAGCACACAAATCATAGCACACTTAACTGAACTCCCTATATAAAACTAAGATATCTATCAGTAGAAAAGCTTCATCTTCAATAACTTGAAAAAATTTTTAGTTATTTTCTCCTGCATTTTGTAAAAAAACAGGAGAAAAATATTATTTTAAACAATGCCTTGTTCACTGACATCTAGCTCTACTACTAACTTGTGATATAATGTTGGGCAATGTAGCTGATGTGTGCTTTCTCACTCAGATGTAAAATAATGAAGTTGACATTAGTGATCCCAGGAGTCCAAATCCAATCAATCTTTAAGTACAATAATCACTCCATAACATATCTTTGCTCCCAACAAAACCCTATCCCAATGAGTGGTGTTTCTTACTTTTTTCCCTCTGACACTTATTTAATTATGATCTACAAAATTTAAGTATATTAAATACCAGAGTACTGATTAAATGTATTCAACGGAATTTAAGCTCTATGGAGGTAGACATTTGGTCTTAGTAAATATTGTACCTCTGGTACCTAGAACAATGCTTAGAATTAATACACGGAAACCTCTTAAATACTGAGTAAATGAAATAGAAGGCATGGGGCTTATCTAATGGCAGATCAAGAATTTTAAAATGATAAGCTTGTGAGATAATCTTGAATAATCTCGATTTAAAAAATATAAATACTAAATTTATTTTTTATCTAAAAAGAAATATAATTTGAAATAAAAATATTTACACAGAAATAGTACAATATAACATGAAATTAAACTGATACAAAGAAAAATTTATAGTGTGACAGAAAGTGTGTATAAGCCCTGGCAGTACCTTATTATTTATTGTTTAAAAAATCATTAATATCATCAAATGATTAAGGTGAAATGTCAATCTTGATAGCAGAGGTCATAAAAAATAACACATTGATTTTATTCCAACATGTTTGAAATAGTTCTCTGACTTTCTGATTCAGAATGTTTCCAAAATTATCCAAAATTATTACCCAAAATTACTGTATATGTCTACATCAAAACCTAGTATCGTTCTAAAAGATAATTTACTACCTGCTATTTTTCACTGTCAGTACAGCTGTTATTACAAATAATGCAAAACCTTTTATTACATTGCCACATAAGAGGCTATTATTTAGTACTTTAGCAATTAAAAAAATTGACATAGGTTTACATCACAAGTATTGTTTACTGGGCATATCCCAGTATTACCTGTGGACTGTGTTGATTTGTTCCATGTGGACTGGTGCCAGAAAGAAATTTCACTAACACATGAATAAGATTTGGATCTGAAACCAACAAATGAGCAGTACTCTCCTGAGTTCCAATGGCACTGCTGGAACCAGCTACAAAACATTTAAAAAAAAAACTCTTAACAAATGGACCATGAAATGATGAAAATGCAATATTTAAAAGCAACTTTTAGTTCCAAGGAAAATCTATATATTCTCAGTAATTTCAGTTTATTGAAGGGGTTTTGATCTCTACCATGCTGAATGAGGAGGATCTCATCCTCCATTCTCATCTATCACACATCTCCTCCTGCCTCTCCTCGGACCGTGAAAACAGAGTTTAATATGCACCTTACTCAGTACACAGTCAAGTGGAAAATAAATAACTAAAACCTGCACTACTTCCCCTTCCAAAAGCAGGCAGAGATCTACTTTATAAATAAATTTTGACCCAGTTTTCTAAAATACACTGAGGCAAAAACCATCCTGTAGGTAATCCTATAGGTTATTTCTGAACTAATATCCAGGTAACAAACAAGTTTTCTGAGTTGAATAAAATCCCTTTGGCTTTAAATCGATCTTTGGTATCAGAGTGATGCTTTTAATCCTATTTTTGGAAAACAGATTCCAGAAGAGAAAATGGAATAGTATTTTGAAGCTAAGCAATGATCTAAACTTTTAAACAAAACCCAGAAATCCAGTCATTACATTTAAGAATATTATAATGACTAAATAATTTCTAAGTAAAAAGTCACCTTATAAGAATAATACATAAAAACTTAGACTAACAGTATAAATTTGACTTGGTACTCTAAAAGCAATCAATTTTCATTTAATAATTACTAAGTTTTAAAAAGAAAAAATGATTCAAACTTCTGATGAGAGACATGAGAGTATTTATATTAACAAAGTAAACAAGCACAAAGGATAAGATATGTAAGGAGAAATTCAGAAGAGACATGTTCAATTAAATAATTTAATCACTTTCACAACTATATCCCTTCTTGGAAAAACCTACTTTTAAAATCTGAAAGCAAGAATATTAAGCATATGTCAGAGATCTGAAGGAACAAATTTGTGAACTTACAATTAAGTTGCATGTTTGTCATAAGTGTCAGGCTATGAAGCACAAGGCACCACGTCCGGAGCAACGTATTGGGATACCACGCTAACACCGTGAGAAAGCTGGTTATTGAGGCTACGCAGAAAAGAAAAAGGAAAAACATTCTTACTTAGAAAAATGAACTGTTTTTTACAAATTAAAAACCAAAAGAATGGATTCAAAAACAAGATGGGATTTCTTTAAATCAGTTCATTAACTCGTATCCTCAAAACACACAAATGAAGAGTTCTCTGCTAAATACAACAAGCAACAAGAGTCAGTAACATTTGATGACAAGGTTGAAAGCTCAGCCATAACATGACATGATATCAGTACAAATCTGTTGTACTTTCCAAATGACAGGCATTTCTATTGCAACACAATTTATGTTACTAAAAACCTTCACATTCTATAAAACCAGAAGCTGAAATAAATAAGGCATATTGGAAAAACTGGGATAAAGTAGATCAAACAAAATCAATGCAACTTCACAACAAAGAAATATGCTCATTCGCAAGATAACTTGGAGGGCCCAGGTAGGAAGCATTCACTGCAGCTGGAGAAGTCAAGAAAATGAGTCAAAATGCAACAAACACAGTTCAGTGTACAGGACAGAGCACAGTGCCCCTAATGTGGTATTCTAACAACCCCCTTTGTAAATGGCTCATTCCTAATCTAGGGCATTAAACGGAAACAGTATGAACATGTCATATCACAAACTAACAAAAACATAGTCATGCATTCAAAAACCAAAAACAATAGAAACAGGAGCATCTCACTGGTTACAATCAACACAATCTCAGTATCAAGTATAACAATTATAATGAAATCATAAGAAATATTTAAATATCCAACAACTTATACAAAGCATATTAAAGAAATTTAACTGGCCGGGCTTGGTGGCTCAGCCTGTAATCCCAACACTTTGGGAGGCCAAGGCAAGTGGACTGCCTGAGCCTAGAGGTTCGAGACCAGCCTGGGAAACTTGGCAAGACCTCATCTCTACAACAAATCAAAAATTAGCCGGGTGTGGTAGTGTGCGCCTGTAGTTTCAGCTACTTGGAAGGCTGAGGTGGAAGAATCGCTGGAGCCCTGGAGGTGGACACTGGTGGGTGTAAGCATGCCATGGCACTCCAGCCTGGGCGACAGAGTGAGACACTGACCCAAAAAAAAAAAAAAAATTAAATTGGTCATGACTGTATATTACTAGTGAACCAACTCATTTTGAAAACTAATTTTAAAAAACAAAAAGGTCCCAGCATTCTTCCTGCCTCCTTATACAAACTGTACCACAGGGTGACTTAATAGCAGATAAAAAAGAAGTTTTTCCTAACGGAAGTATTTTGGCTAAGAAATGAAGCAGGAATTAGAATTAGACTATGATCATTTGGAAACCTCTAGTGAACTGTTAATAGGTGGGTCTACCAATTTACAGGAAATAAAAGGACAGCATAGAGATACAAATTCCAAAAACCTGGACCCTAGGAGCCCTGGACAACAAACAACTAAACTTCCTTGACAAGTGACTTTGCAACGGGATTGGGAAAAAAAAAAAAAAAAAAAAGGACATGGAAGGAATCAAGACAAACTACCAGGAACTAAAGAAAGAGGATTAAGTATGTGGTCCTTATACAGATTCTGCTTCAAATAAAAAATCTGTATAACATTTCAGAGAACTGGAAATTAGAAAACTCACCAGCTTTACAGTAAGGAATCATTTTTTTTTTTTACCCTTCCATTTGTATATATTTGATATTTTTCATAATAAAATTAAAAACAGATAGGAACCAGTTTTTAAATAGTACTAATAAAACAGCAGAATAAACAGAAAGCCATCTATGACAGCAGGGCTGGCTGGTACGGAAACAATGCATATGTTAAGAAGATGTGGGAGCCGGCGGGACTGTTGCCAGTGGTGGAAGACAGAAACGTAAGAAGAGAGTAGGCTGTGGGATGCACCACTCCAGGGAGAAGCACCAGAACAGACTCTCATTCTCACCTTCCTTAAAATAGTACTAAAATCGATTCCCGTAGCCAGAGCCGAAGGATAGTTCTTTTCTTATTGAAGGATATTATTCTACTCCCATCATTCCCACGCTCTTGTATTTGCCAAGAAAAAAACAAACACAGATTTCTATAGGAAATTGACATGCCTCTCCAGTTGACCAATTCCTCCAAAGGCTAATTCATATTTTAAAAACAACAACAAATACCTGTCTTAAAAGAACAGACTATGAACACTACAAAACTTCAAGAAATATAATGTTAGGGTTAACAGAAATTTTATAAATTTTAGTTGCACGCAGGCAAAGCACAGACTACATAAGTTTTCTGTTCTTTCCCGCTATGTTGTTAAATCGTTGCATTGTTTTAAAGGTATTTTCCCCCTAAAACATTACAACCCTAATGACAAAGATTAAGATATTTTACCTAATCACTATCTTTTAAACTTGCTACTCATAGTATAATGATTCTTCTACTAAATCTTACCTTGATTTAATGAAATGACAGGTATTCGATTAGCATTATATAAAAATATGTCTGCTCCATTTTCTTTGTTTCCAGATGAGCTAGAATTTAGGCTCAATGTGAGCCACAATTGGAGAAGTGACTCCAACTGAAAAAGAATGAAAATTACAGGAAATAAAATGTATCCCTTATATCGTGAAGTACAATTTATCGTGAAGTACAATTTATATCGTGAAGTACAAAAATGTTATGTCTAAATCCTTGTCATGAGTAAAGAGGTTTTTTTAAAATTGACTACTTCCTCTAGTTTTCTCAATTCAGTTGATAAGCAAACACACCTTAAAATTCTTGATGAAACAAAATTTAACTGAATTAAAATGTATACTTGATCTCATGCAAATGTTTTTTAAAACAGGTGATTCAAGTCTTTAAGTCACAGATTTGTATATAGGTGTGTATGGAATTAAAGTACTAAAACTTAAAACCATAACTGGTCCATCACTGAAGAGCTATGCGTACTCTGATAATCAAAGTATTCCCAATATTTTTCCAACTGAGTATAATAAATCCCTGACAGACTAAGAATGAGTCTCCCAATTACTTTCATTTTTTAATAGGCAAGCAACAATATGCATTTTTCCTGAAGTCATACCTGAACATGATGGACTTGAAGCATGGAAAAAAGTTTGTTGAAACAAACATTTAACATGGGGACAGATGATAACTGTATAATAAGCTGGTTGGTTGGGTTTGCTGCTTGTAAACCCCCTAGAAGTGAATCATCTGTTCCAGTGGGAGACTGTGATACTGAAAATTAAACACAAATATGATTTTATAAGTTATCAGGAGGTATGTTAACTGGTTATTAATATATAAAAAATAGGTTTTAAAAAAAGATTAAACTGAATTCTTTAGCATGGCTCAAAACTGACTTATACTTGTTTTTATAACATTACTTAAAAGTCAAAAAGACAACACCAAAGAGAGGAGCTAATAAATTCACAGGACTCATCCAGCAAAAGTAAGTACATTTTTCTTTAGCAAATTTTATTTGCATTTTTTAATAATTAACAATGGAGGAAAGTAAAGAGAAAGAAAGAAGAATCTTGACTAAGTATTGGAAAGGCAATTTAGAATAAGCTAGATTCTAGTTCAATGGTCCTTTTCCCAATTGCATATTAGAATCAACCGGGAAGTTCCCAAAAATTCTGATGCAAAACTTATTAAATAAGGATATATTTATGGGCATACAGAAATACAGGGACATTAAAGAAGTTTTTCATATATTTAGAACATTCCTATTATACTAAAAAGAGACACAGCTGTATGTAAGATAATCAACAGATAGAAGCAGACACCAATTTCAAGAGAGAACTAACAAGTTGTTTTAAATAAGAAATATTTAACAACAAAAAAAGGACTACTCTGGACAGTACTGAGCTATATGTAATTGTGCAGAGGCTGAACTTGACAAAAGGGATTCCACATTGCCTTGGAGATTCGACACAAGACTAATTAGTGTGGCAAAACTACAGTTACACAACACTAGACCACCACTGTTTTTTTCTCTCCTTTTTTCTATACTCTCTAAGACAAGAAATAAATGAAGACTGCAAACCGGAAAAATTTACATAAGCAAGATCTAAAAACCCAAATTTCTCTACTGAAATGAGATACGAACTCTCCTTCCTAAGAGAAGCAGACATAACTTTCTTGGGATCTGTCTGCTATCTCCACCCTAGAGAAGGTGAAGTGACCTGTAGGCCTGAGGAAGAACTGCTCCCTTCCATCTGTCCTTGAGAAACTGGGAGCTATCTTCACTGTACTTCTCTCTCTGACTCAAGGAAAGCTGCACAAGTCAGACCCTGAATATCAATGTCAGCAACCACGAACTGCTGGCCAGCTCTGGAGGGTTGCCTATTTCTGTGACACAGCCATGCCCGTCCATCACATGTTGTCTCTGGTCACTTGGCTGCCCCCAATCAGAGCTGAGTAGTTTCAACACACAACATATGGCAAGCAAAGCCTAAAATATTTTGTGTGGTCAAGTTTGCCTTCCTTCTCTGTAGATAAGTAGGTAGAGTCCTCTCAATTCTGTGGGCAGTCAGCAGGCCCCTTTGGCTGTCTTCCTGCCCTATGTTTTCCATCCTAGTCTTAAAGGATGATAAGGATGTTACCATAAAAAATCCACAGCATCATAAAAGTGAATACAGCGCAGTAAACTCACAAGCAGCTATCCAGGTTTCCCAAGCATTTCATTAACTTCACTATAATACCCTAACAAATACACAATTCGGATTCCTGGACTGAACTTAAAGAACTACATGGAAAATTTTTTGTGGAAGTCCACCATTTGTTGATCCTTTGTGTTAGTTCTCAATTTGCTACTAACTTAGATGGGGGGGAGGGGTGCTATATATTAAGGTCCCTCACACTCACACCAAGGAATTTAAAAACATTTACCTTGGGAAAACACTTCTTATCTACAGGGTGCCTGAATGAAACGTCATTGTACACCTAACCCTTAACTGTACCCCACAAAACCATAATAAAAAATACTGATTAATGAAAAAAAAAAAATTAATAAAGTATTATTCTAAAACATAAAAAAACAAAACAAAACAAAACAAAACATTTACTTGCTGAATGTACCTGAAAATAAGAAATAAATCATTCACCGCAGTACTCTAAAAGTGGTAATTTTACTTACACATAGGAGATGTATTTGTTAATGCCTGTAAAATAGAATCTGCTTCCAAGGTAGACATCATTTTCAACATAAGTTCTGCTTGCTGTTCAAGTCCAACTTCTAGGCGAGCATCTAGAGCTACAAAAAGTAATTTAAAGAAAAAAAGTATTTTTGACAATTGCTACTCATGTCCTACCTCCTACAATAAAATGTCGACATCTGAACCCAAGAGAGGGTGAGATGAGTGTGTCCTTATGGAAGAACAATCTGGCATGTGGAGTCAGAGCCAGAGCAGGGAAGAACATCTGTGGAAAGGAGGTTAGAGACAGGAGATTGGTTATATAGAGACAGGTAGATTAAATTAGTGAAGTAATGATCATGGAAGCAAATATTTAAGGATAAGGAGAGCCAAGCTTCTCACTGTCAGGAAAAAAAAAGTACAAATACAGGGAGAAAATGAAAACACCTTGTATGAAGTTAGATTACAACCAGATATACAAATATGAACTCATCACATTCAATATATACAGATGAAGAAAGAAATAATACAGATGCAAACTGTGTCTTCTTTCTTTCTTTCTCTCCCCATCCCACCCCCCAGCTCATCCGCCATGAGGAATGGAAAAAGCCAGCAAAACAGAGAAAAAATAAGCGTTACTTTTGTCAAGATATACAATCTCAATCTAATCATGAGGAAAATAGCACACAAGCCCAAACTGAAGAATATTCTGCAAGATAACTGGCCTATAATATTCAAAAGCATCTAAGTCATGAAAGTCAACTATGAGAACTATCGTAGATTGAGCCAGACAAAGGAGAGATGACAACTAAATGCAAAGAATGATTTTTTTACTGGGTCCTTGTACACAAAGAACATTAACTGGACAACTGTTAAAATTTGAATGGGCTCTCAGTGTTTGACAGCAGTAAAGTTAGCTTCCTGATTTAGAGGAAATGTGTTTCTGGATGTGCTTATGCGGAAGTATTTCCTGCATTGCAAAACAAAAGAAAAATAACATGAAATTACTTCTGCAAAACAACAGAAATATAATAGTATCAAATTAGCAACCTACTCACAAATGGTTCAGGACAATAAACACTCTCTGCATTGGACTTGAAACATATTGGTAAATGTGTCACTGTTTCAGAATTTTTAAAGGTATTTTATTATACAGTTAAATACATCTAATATAGTCTACATAACTAGAAAAGTGCAAAAAATAATATTCAATTGGTTTCATTCTGTGTACTAGTAAAGACAAGAAATTAAAACAAAGCAAACTAATTCAAATAATTGTTAATCCCACAAAAGCTACGGATATCTTTTCCTAGGAGTTATTTTGATAGAGAAACAAAAAGATGGATCATCAATGGAAGTTCCTTCAAACTGACTGCAGAGAAACCACTCTGAACTAGCAGGACAGTAGCGACATTTAACATCTAGCATACACCCAAGCTCCATTTCTAAAGGGACAAAGTAGACAGGAATGTGGGACTTGTTTAAGAATAGCATATGTCTTAAAATAACAACATACACTTACCCTGAGACACTGAAACACTGACTGTCTGGGACCCGTTCTTCTCTGTGTTTGCTGGTGGCTTTGCTACAGGAATTCCCAGGCCTCCAATGTAAGGGTTGTAATTGTAAGTGCCATAGTCAGCACCCCAATAATCATACCATGTACTGCTTATAGGCTTAAAAGAATGGGAAAAAATTGTGGTTTATTTAGCCTCTTCAATGAGTTGCACATTACTTACATTATCTAAACCCAAGCAGTACTACAAAACAAACATTCTACCCACTCTTTAAGTTTCCAAAGCCTGCTTATAATTTTAATGATTTCCAGAATGATTCAGCAATATTCTTTTCACTTTTTTCCATAATCTAAAAATACCAAATATGTGTAGAAACTGATAGATAACTAATATCTTTAATAATATTTCTTATGCATCAGAAGAATAGTACCACTATAAAGAATTACAGGTATGTCTTGTTTAGAAAAAAGAAACAGGCTTACATAGAAGCAGAATCTGCAATAAGCTCAGTATGGATAAGGTTTAAATGGCTACCTGAAATGTTGGTAATCCATAACTGTACTTCCCCATGCTTAATAGTAGTTCTTGTTACTATGCGATAATTATCAACGGCTATAATAATAAAAATGGCGCAAGTTTTCTTTATACTATTTCACTGGTATTTCTTTAAAACCTAATATAGTATCTAGAGCAAGTTAATGCATTCTATATGTTGAATCATGGGTTGCATTTAGTGACAAACATGTAGCTTTTCCTCTTTTAAGTAATTACTAACCCAAAAATGAAGATGAAACGCAAATAATGCAAATAATATTCTAATGTATCATACCTTGAAAACTTTGGCTGCAAGAGGATCCTTTTCCAAATCAATATCTAAAGGATCAATGTCAACTTCCATTAGATCTTGAAGTAGCTCAAGGTCAATTTCTTTATCTTTTTCCAAGGAGGAGAGAGGAGGTGCTCCTTCAAATAATTGAAAGTGATTTTATTGGTGGAATATATCACAAAAAAGTGAGCTGATATATTGCTTTTAGTTATAAAAGAAAGTTATTTTACTTGCGTGCAAGGTATATGACTACTGATATTTAGAAAGTCTAAGTCTTAATACTTCACAATGAAATACTCATAAATACGCAAATATATCACAATAAAAACACCAATGCAGTGATATTTGGCTTCCTACGGAAAAGATCATTGGATCAGTACTAGCTGAAGCAAGCTACATAAATGCTGCTGTTAAAAATAATTATTAGGCTGGGTACAGTGAATCACACCTATAATTCTAACACTTAGGAGGCCGAGGTGAGAGGATTGCTTGAGCACAAGAGTTTGTGACCAGCCTAGGCAATAATAAAAATTAAAATTAAAAAATTAGTCAGACATGGTGGTATGTGTCTGTATTCCCAGCTACTCAGAAGGCTGAGGTGGAAGGCCTGCGTGAGCCCAGAAAGTCAAAGATGCCGTGACTGTGCCACTGCCCTTCAGCCTGAGTGACACAGTGAGACCTCCAACTCAAAAAAAAATTATCATCAACATGTCTATAATGAAGAGTATTCATTCTATGACATCCAACATGTAATTCATTATATTACATCCACCATTATAGGTAATGTTACCCAGTATTAAAGAGGAAAACAAAAAGGACTAAAGTTATAAGATTGCTATTTATCTAACTTTTTTATTATGGATTACAATTACTTTGCTCTCAGATGTCTCCAAATTTTTAAGCATTTTTTTAATCCCTTACAACCCTTACTTTCCCATCATTCCCATCATCTTACTCAATACGCACTTCTAGAATGCCTAGCAAAGGCCAGTCTGTACTAGGGTTTGAGTATATGTGCATGAAGAAAGAAATTAACTGACTATAACACATGTGCTAGCAGAGATATTCGAGAGGGCAAGGGCAGTACAGATGGCCAAGTTCCCAACTCTGCTGGAGTGACAGAAAAAGTCTCTCGGAGAAGGGCACACTTTATGTGAACCTTAGGTAAGGAGGAGTGCATGATCCATGTAAGAGGAGGAAATCTAATTCACATAAAGAGACTATCAGGTCAAAAGATCTAATTCACATAAAGAGACTATCAGGTCAAAAGATCACATCAGGTCAAAAGATCACATTGTGAGAGAATGTACAATTAAGCAATGACAAATAGTTGAAAATAACCATAGCATCTGACATATACAGGGCAGTAGCCAAAACAGTGTTGTGAAAAATAATAGGAATCCAGATGACAAAAGATTATGCATGGTAATTTATAAACAGACTTTTTTAAAAGCTAGAAAAATAGGCCAGGCGTGGTGGCTCAAGCCTCTAATTCCAGCACTTTGGGAGGCCGAGATGAGGGGATTGCCTGAGCCCACAGGCTCCAAAACAGCCTGGGTAACTTGGTGAGACCTCATCTCTACAATAAATCAAAAAATTTGGTAGCACACACCTGTACTTCTGGTTACTTGGAAGGCTGAGGTGGAAGGATCGCCTGAGCCCAGTAGACCGAGGCTGCGGTGGCAGTGAGCATGACACTGCACTCCAGCCTAGGCAATGGAGTAAGACTCCTACTTAAAAATATAAAGTAAAATAAAACAAAACAAAGGAAAAAATACACTAAGGAAAACAAAGAAGATGGATCTCAAAGAACAAGAGTTTTTGACCTTGCCATCTTCATTACTGCATATATCTTTAAATTTTTTTATATTGTAATTTCTTCAACATAAGCCCAATCAGACTATATCAAAATAATAAGGATGTTATGAAACGACAGCATTCTGTTGTAATGAACATTTATTCAGAGAACCAAGTCAAAACATATTTATCAGAAAACAACTGATGTAGTTTATAAGGTCAAACAACTAATAGAAAAATTAACTTGGTACATTATTTTCAAACCTGCTTTCTTTTCATAGAAAACACTAAAACATTTTAAAGGAAAGATTAATTTTAAAATGTACCTGTTATATCATGTGTCAAAGGTTCGTCAATGGTCTCCAGCAACTGCACCGAGGCCTGCTGCAAGGAGTCATCAGAGTCCCCAGCGGTGGCCCCCACGTCATCACCTACGGCTCCTTCCTCCATGGCTTCTGCGGCTACTGGAGCCAGCAATTCTCCTGGATGTAGAGAGTGTTCTGGTTAAATAATTTATACAAAGACTTCCGAAACATATTAAACTGTGTTTTTACTCTAGTTTAGAAAATGACAGAACACATGCTCTACCAACTAGAAAAGAATCCGAGGCAAATCAGTCCCTTTCCACTTGGGGAATGCTGGGACTCACTGTACTGCCTTCAAATGCCGGAGATGAGCAACCAGTCATAGAAAATACAATGCATAAACATGTTCAAGAAGTTACAATAATCACTTGACATGTAAGAACTCACTTATTCACAGAAACAACCCTATAAGTACTTTGGCCAGGCATGGTGACTCATGCCTCTAATCTCAGCACTTTGGGAGGCTGAGGTGAGAGGATTGCTTAAGCCCAGGTGGTCGAGACCAGCCTGGGTCACATAGTAAGACCCCCTTCTCTACAAAAAATTAACAACGTAATCAAGCACAGTGACGTGTGCCTACAGTCTCAGCTACCTGGGGAGCTCAGGCAAGAGGAGTGCTTGAGCCCAGAGCTCAAGGCTATGGTGAGCCATGATTATGCTGCTGCACTTCAGCCTGGGTAACAGTGAGACTTTGACTCCCCGCTCCCCAAAAAAGGTGTATTTTTTTTCTTCATCTTGTGCAGATGAAGAAACTGAGGTCCAGCGACTTCATCAAGGTCACATAAAGAAACCAGTAAGCAGCATACCACTAACATTAATAAGAAAGCGAAATAGCTCCAATATTCATGCCCTTTAACAACAGAACTCCTTTCTGAAGTCTTACGTTGATCACAACTGTCAACACAATTAAATACAAAAATCACCTCAATGGTTGCTACTGTTGTAACATTAGAGACCTTTCATGCTTTTAAGGGATGACAACTCCCTTTGAAGATTAATGAGCTGAGCAATGACAAGCTATTGTTTGCCACATCTTATGAAAAACAAATTCTGACAAACCTGCTAAAATATCCTGCAGCATACAAGTTAAGGAATATTGAGCCCAAGCACCACCCCAGGATATATCTCCTCTATTGAAGTCAGTTCCAACCAAAAGTAACAGAAGTCTTTCCAGTTGGGGTTCATTCACAATCTCACACAGGTGAATAGTTGGCCGCGTGGCATTCGCAATGCGTGCAAGAACCTGCAACACATTTTATAAAACCACACACTTACATAGCAATTATGTATTTTTAAAAAAAAAAATAACAAATCTACCAATACTTTAGCACAGGAATAATAGGTTTCAATAATGATGTATTCTGGTGTTAAAAAAAATACTTGATATGGAATGCAAATGAATGTCATTTCGTGAATCAAATATTAAAATCTGGTTTAAAATCTAGTGAAATAGTTAAGAATAATTTCTACATACAGAAAATATGCTACAGGAAAGTAACCACATCGCTGAAAGTCCTTCATTAATCTAATCTGATACTTATTTGTTATTTCCTAATTAATATAACACAGGTAGATTGGAGACAGATATACCCTCATTACTTACTCTTCAAATCCTCAAGATATAACTAAGTTAAAATATAAATCATGTTTCCTTAGAAAGTAAAAAAAAATTTAATCTTTCAAGACAAAACAGAAAATTAAATGCAAAAAAAGGAAAACCAAAAGAAACACTGCTACGTCTGTTAATCAAAATCAACCAAAAATCTCCTTTCCTTACCCAGTAAGTCTATACATATAAGTATGCCTAACATTTTCCTTACCTTACAAACAAATAATAAGAGATCTGCATGACATGTAAAATCCATGGAGAGGAGAAACAGAACAAGTTTCTGGACTACTGAGATACAACGTTCATGGGCAAGAGTAAATGGAAGTGGTTCTATCTCAGGACTTTCTTTTGTTGTTGTAACTTCTGTGTCTAAATTAGAGCGCGACCATTCTGCTGTCCGACGTAAACGAATTAAATCCTTGAAGTGCTGCACACAGAAATTTACAGTATTTAAATGTTTGTTTAATGAAAATCTTTTCAGTACAAACTGACCTACCGAAAATGAAAATATTCAATCCATATTACAATTTCTAAAGAAAAAAATGTTTAGATATATCATAAGCTTTAAAAAGTAGGATTATTGCCAGGCTCAAACCTGTAATCCCAGCACTTTGGGAGGTGGAGGTGAGAGGATTCCCTGAGCCCAGGGGTTCAAGACCAGCCTGGGCAGCTTGGCAAGACCTCATCTCTACAATAAATCAAAAAATTAGCTGGGTATGGAGGCACGCGCCTGTTGTTCCAGCTACTTTGAAGGCACAGGTGTAAGGATCACATAAGCTCAGCAGGTTGAGACTGCAGTGGCCGCGACTATGCCATTTGCACTCCAGCCTGGGTAACACTCACAAAAAAAAAAAAAAGAAAGAAAGAAAAAGAAAGTAAGATTATTAAAAAACTATCTGGGACCAAAATACTTTACTTCCTATTCAGGGTAAGCTATCAAATAAATAAGAGAATTTCAGAAAAGTAAAATTCTACAGATACTTATTGTAGGTAACTCAAGTTGTTAGGTCAACAACTTAAATACTACCATAGCATCTTAAACATAGCTCATAAATGGTTGGTTAAAAAAAAAACACCAAAAACTAATATATAATTTCAAGTACAAAGTATTAATTCAAGGTATTTCAAAATCTGGTAGAATAAGCATAACCCCATATTAACAGAAACAATATACAACTTTGTTTGCTACACATAAACATGTTATCCCTCCAAATTTAAAAAAATACATTATCAAGTGTCTTAAAAAAATTTTTTTTTAATAAATTCCTTGACCTTCCTTTTCACTTAGAAAAGGCATGCTAGCCAGGCGCGGTGGCTAATGCCTATTAAAATCCCAGCACTTTGGGAGGCTGAGGAAAGAGGATCACCTCAGCCCAAGGGTTCGAGACCAGCCTGAGCAATTCGGCGAGACCTCATCTCTACAATAAATAAAAAAATTAGCCAAGCATGGTGGCGCACACCTGTGATTCCAGCTACTTGGAAGGCTGAGGCAGAAGAATCACCTGAGCAGGTAAAAGCTGCAGTGGCCATGAGTGTGCCGCTGCCCTCCAGCCTGGGAGACAGAGTGATGTTCCAACTCCAAAAAAGAAAAGGCATGCTATGTTTGAGCCTTGTAAGTACCACTGGGTCCAAAATATGTTTCACTTCTTTTTTTTTTTTTTTTTTTAAAGAAAGCAGGATTTATTGAGATGACAGAGAAGCTTCCGGAAGGGGCTTGAGTGGGTTGCCAATAAGTTTCACTTCTAGACTTAGCCCCCACAATCTTGTAATAACAAAACTAAGGGGAAAGGGAAAGCCAAAATGTTCACTTTGCATATTAATTTTACTAGTAAGGTCGACACAATGGTATTTACAATCATCCTGTATATTTTTCTACTGAATATGAAATATTGTAATACACAGCACTGTCAATGCCACATTAGAAAACTGTACATTCCGTTGTCTTTTAATTTCCATTTACTGGTACTGAATCCACTTTGAAGTAATACACTAGAATAATGCTTTGGGTCCACATTTATCATACATCTCCTTGAATTACAAAAAAATGTCCAGAGTAGATTGGTTTTCTGTCGCTAAGCAGAATTAACATATATTGAAGTTTCTTGATTATTATGAAAGATACTTAACTATTTGAATGACTTAAAACACTAAAGAATAAAGTGACTTTCTGAGAGATAATTGCATTTAAAAGTATAGAAGGTACCTTTGAAGTAGCCTGCTTTAGTTTCGCTTGCTCTACCAGGAGTTTATATGATGATCCTTTGTTACTCTGTATTTTTTCCTTTTCCATCTGTTCCACCAATGCCTTCTGCTTTGCTTTTAGTAGGTTAAGTTGCTTTAAAAAAAAACAAACAACTAAATCTTTAAAATAGCATTAAAAACAAAAAAGTACATTATTATACTTCACAGAACTCATACAACAAACTAATAGAATGTGTATTATCCAGAAAGATCTGCGAATGGAGTTTTAACTGTCTTGCTGTGTGTTTTTTTTTAATCATTTTAAAATTCTGACTTCTAGATTGTTCCATATCATTATGAAAATCTCCTTCACCCATGGGAATGAGAAGTTAACTGGAAGACTTTCTGGTATAAGCCACTAAAGTAATTGGGTGATACATATTTTTTGATAGACGAACAGAACTATTCGTTTTATAATAAACATATGAGGAAAATATTTTATTACTTAGTATTTCTTTGCTTTCATGGCAATCTCCCTCAGGAGTAATACACTTTTTTTATATGTTTAACTTGTTTATTGCTTAAAATTTTTATTGAGATCACTGTAGATTTATATGCAGCTTAAAAAATAATTAAACTGTATGTACATTTAAAAATTAAGAAATTATAGAGATTTTTGTACACTTTAACCAATTTTCCTGAATGGTGACATTTTGTAAAACTACAGTATAATATCATAATGTGGTATCGACACTGACACAATTCACCAATCTTATTCGAATTTTTCCAGTATAACTGCACTCATTTGTGTGTGTCTGTCTGTAATTATATACACTTCTACACATATTAGTTCATGTATCTACCACAACAGTTAATGCTGAAACGGTTTCATCACAAGATTCCCCATACTGTCTTTTTATGACTCTACCCACCTTCTTCCTATCCTGTTTACCCCATCCCTTACCAATGGCAATCAAGTATCTGTAGCAATGAACAAATAGGTCAGAGACTAAAAAACAAAACAAAACAAAAAAAAACTCCCTTCCCCTGAAGATCTTACAGGGTACTGAATGCATTCTCCATACAGCAGTGCACACAGAAAGTCACTTTAAATAGAAGCTACTTGAAAGGTAGAGCCACAATTATAAATAAATAATAGTTCAGTTAAGAATGTAATAAACCTGCCTTCTCAAAGAACACTTCTTAAATTTCTACTATTGACATATACTTTTGGTATCAAGGAAAAAATACGAATTCATATTATTTTAAAAATCCACTTGGCTGTTTATCTCCACAGATGAAGAAAAATGTATCCTAAATTCAAACTAGCATTACGTATAATAAAAAAATATTAAATTGAGAAGTTAAGAATTACTACAAATCAGTATTTTCAGAAAGTATTTACATAAGTCCTACAATTAACATAAGCAACAATTATAATCAAGAAAAAATTAATTTTATTTTCAAACAGCCACAATTTTAAGTATTGCACAAATACATTTGTTTTTACTTAACTATTACTATTGGCAATAAGTTGGCAACCCAATGCTCAATCACCCCAAGTGTCTAGGAATTCCTAGACACAAGAACGTCCTACAAATCACAATACACCATTGAAATTAGAGAATACTGATATCCGACCACCAATTATCCTTCAAAACCTCTTTTAAGTTTTGCCAGCTGTCCCATACTGTCCTTCATAAAGAAGAGTCAGCTGAGATACATGCTAGGTTTTGTTTTCAATCTTCATATCCGAAAGTAAATACACCAAACACAAATATTAAGTGCTCAATACATTTTAGCCAGATTTGAAAGGATACAAACCACATAAAACGGGTGACTAGTCTCAAAAAGAAAAGGGAGCTGAAGAAGCATTATAGTATTTTTCTTGCAAAGATGGAGTCGAAAAGCTTACAATTGAAAAATAAACAACCTCATGCCACGTCCACCTTGTCAAAAAGGCCCAAAGCTTTCCCAAACATGCCAGATCTACATATATATTCATATAGAATCTCACTGCATCATAATAAAAATATTTTGGAACTACTACATACAACACGCTGGGCTCTATGCTAGGAATCAAGGAATAGTTGATGAACTTGGAGAAGTCTTTCTCCAGGAAAAAGATACTTTTTAAACAGAAATTATACTAAAGTACTGGCTTATGTCTGACAAAAGCTATAAACTCACTTTCTCAGATAGAAAGGCACATGAAATAAATCTTATGTGTAAGCCCATTCATGGAAACCACTGACCTACAATAAGACCACATTCTAACACATGACCTTCTGTGAAGCAAAACAAGAAAGAGAGAGAGAGAAAGAGAGAGAGAGCGTGTGCACACACGCTAAAAAGGCAGAAAGAAGAATATACAAACTATACAAATATGCATAGCTGTTAATATTTTAAAAAGAAACAACAGAAAAATAAGTCAAAAACTAAAAAGTTCACCAAAAGAAAAATGGATAAACAGATTCTGGAACATTCAAAGACTAAAAGAGTCATCAAAAATAAAAAAGAATAAACTACTAACACATTCAACATGGATAAATCTCAAAAACATAATTCTGAGCCAGACAAAAAGGAGCATATATTGTACAATTCCCTAACAACACTTAAAGAAATCATTTACTCACAGTTAAATGCACAAATCTCAAGTTAACAAAAGAATACCTACAAAAAAATAAGATGAATATAATAAAAGAAAAAATACACGATACATGGGGAAACTACTGCATGGGGATACTACTCTAATTTAGAAACCTCTTGAAGGAAGTGAATATAAACTAATGATTGAAAAATAGATTATTCAGGCAAGAGTAAGGTACATTGTTAGAAAGAAAATAACTACTTAGCACATGCAATATCCTGGATAAGAAACTGATCCTAGAAACTCAAATTCATTATGGCTAGAGCTTTAAGAACACAAAATTAAGACCTGAAAGTTAAATGGAGGGGAAGAATAAGTAGACGTCCTAAAGTCATGTGAAAGGGTTTGGCCTTCATTCAAAATTCAACTGAAAGCCATGAAGAATTCAAGAAAAATTAAGTGGAAAATAGACTGGATTAAGGAAGAACCAAGAAAGAGGTGGAGGCTCTCTGACTACACAAAAGATAATGGCAATCTCGCTCAGAACAGTAGTAAGAGAGATGGGAAAAGGTAAACAGTGTAAACTTTTGTTGTTACAAAAATCAATACACTGCATATGGTTGTCACTTTATAATTAAGAAAACTCATCTCCAAAGCGCTGAATAATTTTGGTAAATTAAGTAGCTCATCAAATGTCACACCTTCAATCTGACAGTACACTTATCTAATACAACCTCGAAAAGAATATTCTCAAACATCAAAATAAAAAATGTACCAAAAATTACCTGTTTATGATGAACAAGCTGCTTTCGGATTTTTCTGGAATATAATCTATCAAGGCTACTGCTGCCTTTGGAAGATCTATTTAAGCTCTGAGTGTGCAGACTATTGTTAATAAAACTCCACTGATTACCTATAGGGGAAGGGAAAGTTTTATTAACAATTCTGTTAAATATTATTTTAAAGTACTTCTTACATCCAGAAAACACAATTATAAATGTGCCAATCATGACAAAGTAGTTTTAACAAAAATAAGGAAACCATTATTAAGAAACTGCTAGATCTGATACTAGAAAGGCTCATAACTTTCACTGATCTAAGCTGTCTTCCTCTACAACTCTTTCAGATCAATCTTTGTACAACACAGTTTTGATGTTGTTGTTCAATTCTAATAGGACTCACTACTGCCTATGTTAAACACATAAGCTTTACCTCAGGGACCAAAAAAAGGTACTTAACAATTTGACTAATAACTATCAAAATAAAGTTGAGTAGTTCAAAAAATCAGGCTGAATAGCTACATTTATTCCCATTTTTTGGAATGTGTCCAGATTATTTTATGCCATTCTTTGGCTAAATTCAGACCCAACACCACACTACCCATCTCCAAACCAAAACATCCTGTCCTGAACCTAAAAACATTTTTTCCTATTTTTTACTACCCATTTGTCAACCCTTAGCTCAAATTCTTCAAACTATTAAAAAAAAAAATCAGCTGGGTTCGGTGGCTCAGCCTGTAATCCCGTGCCTTTGGGAGGCTAAGGTGAGTGGAT